ATAAAAACCTACTCACGTTGGTCTGGTTTCCCAGACACAGGTTAAGCTTAGTCTTAGACTAAGAACTAAGAAGCACTTTCTAGTCTAGGACTTAATCTGTGTCTGGGAAACCAGCCCATTGTCTATGAGTCAACACTCCCCTGGGAAGTGTACCTGGAACCACTCTATCACGACCCAACCCTCCTGACCCCCTCTTCCAGACCAAGACCATGCTGTCTTCCTCTCCATCTTCCATGACTCACCCCTCCTGTCTCTCTCCTCTCCCCCCAGACCAAGACCATGCTGGGGGACCATCTGACCAACGTGGGCATCAACCGGGACAATGTGTCGGAGGTGCTGCAGATGTACATGGGGGCCCATTGCGGGCAGACTGACCTGGCCGAGCTGGCCCTCAGCCTGAAGACCAAGGCCTTCCAGGCCCACACCCCCGCCCAGAAGGCCTCCATACTAGGCTTCCTGGCCAATGAGCTGGCCTGCAGCAAGAGTGTCGTCAGGTAGGAGAAAAGAACAAGAGATACCAAACATGAAAATAGATCATGCTGCAGCAAGAGTGTCGACAGGTAGGAGGAGAGATGCTGACCTGCCAGTGCTGTACATCACACAGGCCTTATACCAGTGGAGCTACAAGGGAATAGCTTATTGTGCAATATGTAAGGAGATCAAACATGGAAAGGATAAGGATTCCATGTTTTTACTGATAGGATATGCAGACAACATTTCACAAGCATTGTCGTCCCTTCCTCTCTTATTAGGTGGAGCCAGTGTGAAAGGTTTAGTGTACAGCAGGCTTCTATACTGTTGTGATCTTTTTGTGAGCCTACTGCCTTTTTAGCTCCTTACAAATAAGGAAGTTTAGTTGACTTCACTCAGCTGCTAATGCTGTCGTGTTTTATTAATGCTGTGTAAGACTCTGGATAGAGCTGATAATCTGGTCTGGGATTCAATTTTGATAGAGAGAGAAGCCAATACATCAATTATTCACTAGAACGGAGGGATACTAGTGCTGCAGGCTATTCACTCTACCGAGAGAGAGAGCGAGAGAGAGAGAGAGAGAGAGAGAGAGAGAGAGAGAGAGAGAGAGAGAGAGAGAGAGAGAATTGAGGTAACTGCCAAAATACAGGAAACACCAACATAAAGTGTCTCAATAGGGCGTTGGGCCACCACGAGCCAGAACCATTTCAATGCACCTTGGGATATATTCTACAAGTGTCTGGAACTCTATTGGAGGGATGCGACACCATTCTTCCACAAGAAATTCCATCATTTGGTGTTTTGTTGATGGTGGAAGGCGCCGCTCCAGAATCACCCATAAGTGTTCAATTGGGTTGAGATCTGGTGACTGAGACAGCCATGGTATATGGTTTACATCGTTTTCATGCTCATCAAACCATTCAGTGACCACTTGTGCCCTGTGGATGGGGGCATAGCCATGGTAGCCAAAATAATGGCCTGCCCAGCATTTTTATACATAATCCTAAGCATGATGGGACGTTACTTGCTTAATTAACTCAGGAACCATACCTGTGTGGAAGCACCTGCTTTCAATATACTCAGTATCCCTCATTTACTCACGTGTTTCCATTATTTTGCTAGTTACGTGTGAACTGACATATACTGTATCTTACTCTGTTTCTACAGCGAGATCGAAAAGAACCTTGATCACATGACCAACATGAGGAAGGACAAGTGGCTGATCGAGGGCAAACTCAAAAAGTAAGTGTTGTGTGTGTCGACGCGTGCGTGTGTGTGTGTGTGTGCATCTGAATGCTCACCTGTGTGTTTCTCTGTCTCCAGGTTGAGGACCATCCATGCCAAGCGGACAGGGAAGAGAGATGCCAGCATGGGGGGGGAGGAGACCCAGCCCCTGGGTACGCCCTCCTCTTGCCTCAAACGCAAGAGGAAGGCCGGAGCAGAAAGCGACGATGACGAGGATGAAGATGAAGACAGCGACGACCTGGCCGATGAAGATGACGAGGAAGAGGAGGAGGAGATGAAGAAGGGGAAGAAAGTGGAGACGTGTGACGAGGATGATGGGGACCAATCAACTAGTGTGGAGGAGCTGGAGAAACAGATAGAGAAGCTAGCTAAGGTAAGTCCTTCTATGGACGATCAATGCTAAATAGTTTGATATTACTGATTCATTGATTTAGTTGTAACTCACTCATGATGGTCTTGCTTCGTTTCCCAGCAACAGCACCAGGTGAGGAGGAAGCTGTTTGAGGCGTCCCACTCCCTGCGCTCCATGATGTACGGCCAGGACCGCTACCGCCGGCGCTACTGGGTTCTGCCCCACTGTGGAGGGGTCTTCATCGAGGCCATGGAGAGCGGAGAAGCTGCGGGGGAGCTGGAGAAAGAGAGGGAGAGGAGGAGGAGGGCAGCAGGGGAGGTGCACATCAAGGAGGAGCCGCAGGAGGAGGAGGTGCAGAAGAAGAAGCCTGGGGGTGTCGGCCAGGAGGAGAGGGGCGTCTACACCCCCGTGGGGTCAGAGGAAGGGACGGGGGAGAAGAAAGGGTTTCCCAATCTTTTCCTCCAGCAGCCAGCCTCTCTCTCCAAACTGACCACGCTCCTCCATGTCGCTAAGGACGTTGCCAAGGAAACCTGCGAAGCCGAGGCAGACCCCCACCCCAAATACAACGGCAGCCCCACGCCGCCCTCCGTCACCACGACAACAAAAACAACAACGCCATCCTATCCCGCCCACAACGCCTCTCTGCCCGCCTTACCTACAAGGACCTGTGCGTTGACGGCACCCAACCTCCCATGTGAGGAGGCCAAACCCGGCCCCCCCACCTCCACCCCGTCCCCCACCTCATTCTCCTCCCTCCTGAGCCCCCCACCCCAGCTTTTCAGCCCTATGAAGACCTCCACCCCTCCACAGCTCCAGTACCTCCCAAGCGACCAGCTCCTCAGGGTCCTGACAGAGAGGAGTGGTCACTGGTTCAGCTTGCTCCCCCGCTCCCCCTGTGACGACACCTCCCTCACCACCTCTCCCTCCCCTGGGCCCGGCCCTCTCCAGTTCTCCCCCCTGCCCTCCTCCAGCCTCACCCGGCCCAGGTCTCCCCCGGCCTCCCCCGCCCTGCCTCTCACCCCCTCGGCAGCGTCGGCCTCAGCCAGCCCCCACCACCCAGCTGGCTTCATCAACTATCCTCTGTCAGCCCTGCAGGTCAGTACCCTGCCAGGACAGACCCCTGGTCCTAATGATTTATACTGGTAGTAGAAGCTTTTAATGGAACATCGTATGAATAAATGTAACATCATAAGAATTGAGGTTCTGCTTAAAGCTAAAGGCCTAAGTGTAGTGATACGCATTCGTTTTTCTAATCATGATATTGAAGTGTGTGTGTATGTATCTCCCCCCTCTAGGGTAAGGCTGGCGGGTCATTGCTGGGTCTCTCAGCGTTCTGCGGTGGCTGGCCCAGTGGAATGATGAGCCCCAGCCAGCTGCCCTTCTGCAACAGCCCCCTGCAAGGCCACTCAGTCCTCAGCTCCCTGGAAGGCAGTGCCAACCCACCGCCCAGTGTCTCCAGCAAGAGCGAGTCGCCCGTTCCTCCTGGCGAGAAGCTCTCGTCCATGGTGCCCTCTCCCACCATGATGGAGGTGCCCAAGCACTCGGACCACCCCACACCACGGCCCATCCCCGAAGGTGAGCGTGTGTGTGTGTGTATGTGCGTGTGGGATGAGTTATCTATTTATTCAGTTAACCTTTATTAATTCACTGAGTCATGAGAATAAATCATTTGTTTTGTTCCACTGGGTGGAAAAAATGAATCTCTTGAGGAGAGAGAGCACTGGAGTGCGTTCTGTATCAGAATACTGTAGATCTATTTCAAGGGGGCATTATGTTGTCTTAAGTTATTTTTCTGAAACATTTCCCTATGTTTATTTGTGTGTGTGTGTGTGTGTGTGTGTGTGTGTGTGTGTGTAGAGATGCTGTCAGGCTGGTGGCGGGTGTCAGACATTGAGGAGCTGCGCTCCCTGGTGAAGTCCCTCCACAGCCGGGGAATCAGAGAGAAGGTCCTGCACCGACAGATGCACAAATACATGGAGCTCATCCCACAGGTCTGCACCAAGCACAGAGACGGTGAGTACTAATTCAGACACAAACACAGGCACTCAGTCAGTCTGTAGGTCTGTCAGTCAGTCAATAGGTCACTCAGTCAGTTGGTTGGCTGGTAGGTCACTCACTCACCCAATCTTTAGCAACCTGCATAGCCTTTGCAGAGTAAATTTAGCCAACAGATCCCAATGGATATAAATGAATAAAGGAGCTTTGATTTTGTGTCAGGTGAAACTGAGCAGCGCTCCGACTGGCAGGCCCAGACTTTCAGAAAGACTTACGCGTTGGAGTCTGATTGAGCACTGTGTTATGACAGCCCTGAGTAGTCATACCCCTACTGAGCACAGTCCAAGCACCAGCGCTTCACAATCAATTGACAGTTGGTACATGACGCATGACTGCCTGCTCGATATGAGTCTGACATCAAAGCCAGATTTGTTAACGTTCGTATGGTTTCTGATTGAACAGCTCTTTGTGTCTGGATACTTCATCTGTGTTTGTCTGTGTGTGTGTGGGAACGGGGAGTGGTAAGAGTGTGTGTGGTTTTGTTGTCGTGTTGGGGAGGGAGTAGTGAGTGATAAAGGTTGTGGGTGTTGGTCTGATGTGTGGATAATATGCATGTTGGTGTACTTACACACACACGTCTATGGAGCGGATGACCGGTCTCTAATGCCGTCCTGTCTCCCCGATGTGCAGCGGCCATGATAGAGCTGTGTGAGCTGGAGGAGAGCCAGGTGAGTGTGGAGTCAGTGCGGGGCTGGTGTGTGGAGGAGCAGGCCATGGAGATGGACATCGCTGTGCTGCAGCAGGTGGAGGAGCTGGAGAGAAAGGTCACCACCGCCAGCCTGCAGATCAAGGTAAAAAACTAAAACAACAACAACAACAAATTCCTTTTATTATAGCTCTCATATCTATCCATTGGAGAAAATATAGGCCTCTTTTCGAAAGTAATGAATTGTAGCAGTGGCCACTCACTAACCTTTTCAAGTCTAAATGTTAGCCGAGATCTAGTGACAATAGGTTGTTATTTAAGACATTACCCACCATTCCCTGCGCAGGGCTGGATGTACCCCGAGCCCCAATCAGAGAGGGAGGACCTGGTCTACCACGAGCACAAGCCCCTCCTCAAACACCAACCAGCGGCGGGCGGCGCTGGCGACAAAGACCAACCGGAGGACAAGGCGGACCACAAGGCGGGCGGCGTGGTGCGTCACGCGGACAACCCTCTGGACATAGCGGTGATGCGGCTGGCGGACCTGGAGAGGAACATTGAGAGAAGGTACCTGAGGAGCCCCTTAGGTACCACCATTCAGATCAGGCTGGATAATGTGGGGGCTATCGGTACGGTCACTGTCCCTGCTCCCTCCAATACTGCTGACAGGGAAGGGTAGGTCATCCACTCAGCATTCAACCAAACACTTCTGTGTGCTTTTTTGTTTGGTTTTTCAAAAAGAAATCAACCTATGCTGTCGTTTTTTTTTTTTTTTGCTTCTTTTATTGTGCATTTTATGGTTATCTTCTGGTTTGGGGTTGACTCACACTGTGGTGAATGTTGTTTATGTTTTTTGTTTTTTCCCTGTTGGTCTTTTTTCCCGTTGAGTTTTTCTGGTCGTCTGCATGGTGTTATGCATCAGTAATGGCCTCCACCTCGTCCCCCCTACCATTACTGTTCCTGCTCTCCTGGCATCTGCATGGGCATCACTCCTCCATGCCAGTGTGTGTACCTGTACTCATATATCCATGCTGCCTGCCTGCCTGCCTGTCTCCCTCACTCACTCACTCACTCACTCACTCACATGCCTCTGTCTGTCTGCACAGCTGCAGCTAGTTGTGGTGACAGTGGGTGTGTGTCTGTGTATGTGCAAGTGTTTGTGTTGGAAAGCGAATAATTGAGTGTGTGCGCGTACCTGCGTGCATGCGTCCGTGTCCGACTTTCCGTTTTATACCTGTTTGTATGCGTCCATCCCTCTAACATCTCCGTTAACCTTCCACAGGGGCGAGGAGGAGGTGGCCCATGGGATGAAGGTGTGGAGGAAGGCCCTGAGCGACGTCCGCAGTGCCGCCCAGCTGGCCATGTGTCTCCAGCAGCTCCAGAAGTCCATCGCCTGGGAGAGGTCTATCATGAAAGTGGTGAGTGAAACCTCAACAGCTGTAGCTGGCTGGCACAGAGTTTCAATATGCTAGGGAAGTGAATACTGTATGTCATTGAAGAGCATTTGAATCCCAAAACCATTTGAAGTCCCTTAGGGAGTGGATTCCAATGTAAATCTTGTTAAATGTTGGTTTGAAATCCATCCCTTGGGTTTGAGGTGACACTGTGTTGTCTGCTTTCAGTACTGTCAGATCTGCAGGAAGGGTGACAACGAGGACCTGCTCCTGCTGTGTGACGGCTGTGACAAAGGCTGCCACACGTACTGTCACAAACCCAAGATCACCAACATCCCAGAGGGAGACTGGTACTGCCCCGCCTGCATATCCAAGGTGACCCAAACTGTCCTGGACACTGTTCAACATTTACATATCCTACCTTACTGTTGAAGTGTGTCAGCCATGCATATTAGTCATGTAGCTTTACATTATTTCAAAGTACATCATGTACCTGTCATTTTCATATTATATATTATTTCAAAGTAGGTAATTTAACAGCACTGTGTACACAATATGATAAGTGCCATTGCTATGTAAGTACATCTGCATGAATCTTTGTCCCTCCCCCCTCAGGCGAGTGGCCCATCTCCCAAGAACAAGAAGCCGCCGAGCAAACCGGTGGCAGGTGGAAGCGGGAAGAAACCAACCGCCGCTGAGGCCAAGCGGAACGGGAAGCAGGCCGGCAACAGTAACGGTAACGTGGAGGTGTCAGAGGACGACTCGGCGAGCGCCAGCAGCACCCCGAAGAAAGGAGGAGGAGCGAAAGAGCCCCCCAGCAGGAAGAGGAAAGGAGAGGAGAGCCCCGCCCCGTCCCAGGCCCCGCCCACACCCCAGTCACCCAGTCAGGAGAGCCCTGTGTATGTGAAGAGAGCCAAGACGGCCAAAGACAACAACAGAGACCTGGGCTTGTGCAGGTACTGTACTACACCATAAGCCTTTGTCATTTTCTAAGCACAAGTATCTGCTGATAGGAATGTACATGCGGTTGTAAATGTATTTGTCTGGGGCGTTCAGCCTCTTTAAATAATTGTTGAAGGTACAATGTACTGTAAACACTTGATCATATTCCCTTTGTGACGTGTGCGTGTTCTCTGCAGGGTGCTCCTGGCTGAGTTGGAGCGCCACCAGGATGCCTGGCCCTTCCTAAACCCCGTCAACACCAAGGGGATCCCTGGCTACAGGAAGGTCATCAAGAAGCCCATGGACTTCTCCACCATCAGAGAGAAGCTCGTCAGCAGCCAGTGAGTTCACTATTAATATTACACTATTACTATCCACTGTCTAGTAGTCATACAGAACAACTATAACTAACCCAGAGATGTTCTGATCAGGTCACGTAGCCAGGAAAAGATCCTGGCCCTTAAGATAACATAACATAACAATAAAGCATTTTACCAATTTACTTAAAATGATCTGTTCCTCTCGTTTCAGGTATCAGAATCTGGAGACTTTCATTATTGACGTCAACCTGGTTTTTGATAACTGTGAAAAGTTTAATGAAGACAATTCAGACATCGGGCGAGCGGGACACAACATGAGGAAGTTCTTTGATAAGAGATGGACAGAGCTTCTGAAGCAAATAAACTAATACATCAGTTTGGGTGTTGTTTGACCAATCATCATCACTGTCTCAAACCAGACCTCCAGTAAAATTATATTTGACATTTCATAGCGGAGGCACCACGTTTTGGGATTGACAAGATGATGACACTAGTCCGTCTGTTCCTTTGGGACGAACCCAGGGAGGTTAAAGTGAAATGTCAACAGACAGACTTATAACGCTGGTGTTGCTAGAGTACAACAGGGATCAAAACACCCAAAGAGTCCCACACAATGTCAACCGGGTGTCTTAGTGCAATACCATTTCCTGTTCAAGATCATTGCACTGAATCCTCATACCCCTCAACCACCCAAGATGCATCTGCGGTAGAATACTTTCCACTACTTGTAAATAGACGTTTTTTTTTATTTAATCGTATTATAGTGAATGTATTTAATTTTTTAATAATTATTTATTAATCAATAAATAAAATAAAAAAAAGGTCCACATCATTTTCTATGAAAAGGAAGAATCAGCTCAACTGCTTTGAATCGAAAGGAATGTCTGTCTTTGTGTTTGACTTTTTATTTAATTTTTTTCCCAAATATGAAACAAAGCCAAGAAAAAAACTAACTGTTTACACTGTTCTATGCTTTTGGGCATCAGAGGACTGTAATCATTATGTTAAAACTGTACAACTGCATTTAATTACAAAAATTGCAGAAAAACAGTCAGACAATGGTGATACATGTGTATATACTGTTTATTAATGTCAATATTCAAGTCTTGTTTGGAACGAATTGTTTAAGATATCAGATATTGTTTATGCCTTAGAATGATTGTAGCATTCTATTCTATTTTAGTGAAAGTGATAAAAAAACATTATTATAAATATTGTTTGTACAATATATACATATCCTCTGCAAACACTGTGGTATCCTTAATCTTGGTAGTGCCTACCCTTCCAACAGGGGCGTAGGGGATATCATTTTTTCTTATATATTTTTTTCATTTTTATGATGACATTATTTTTAATATAATTTCAATCCAACATGGCCTCCAAAGTCTGACACAGTAATCATTCCACTCCATAAAGAAAGAGAAAAACAAACAAACAACGTTTAAGTCTTTTCCCCATGAAACATTTCCCCACATCTGCCTTGCCACAGTGCAGAGGACATAAGGCCATTGGTAACCACTGTGTTTGAATCTTGCTGTGTGTTGTGGCCTAATGGAGGCAGCTAGAGTTTTTTGTACCCAAGTCAGAGTACTTGAAGTTACTTTATTTAAGATATTGTGGAAAAATGTATCATTCTTTTTGTAGGAGCTTTATTTTACACTAGTGTGTGGCACGGACCTATTAAAGGATGTTTTTCAACCTAGTTTCACTCTGGGTGTGTTATTTTCCCTCTTTTACCTACCCTGTGTCATGAGTCATGACATTTTAATTTGGATGATGTGAGTGGGGAGGAGAATACCTTTTTAGTTTTGCAATGCTTTTGGGTAGTACATTAATGTAGTACCCATTCAATTTAGGGCCTATTTTGGCCCCTATAATCACCTACTTCTACTAGCCCTTTTGTTCACACAAATATAAAGTAATTTGATACATCAAGCCTATGAATATATGATAATGACCAATAGGGTTTAGATTAGAATCTAGACTTTGGAGATTTTAGATCTGTCAAATACGGAAAGGGTAGCCTACAAGAAGAACTTGAGAAGAGCTACAGAGGTTGCCAGAGGAAGTGGGAGATGTAGCCTATCACCCGGGTCCACTGCAGTTTGTTCTCTTTGTTGTAGTTCTTTGCAGTCATCTTGAATGGGTTTAATAACAACCTTCAAACATTACTGTGTAGCCTAATGGTGTTTGGACACGATTCTTTACCAGAGGCGTAGTCTGGTCCTCCCCCAGATTTAGTAAAAATTATTATTGAGAACGCATTTCCTGCATTTTAAAGGCCCAATGCAGTCGTTTTTAGCTCAATATCAAATCATTTCTGGGGAGCAATTAAGTACTTTACTGTAATAACTTTCCATGAAAATAGTAAAAAAGAAAACAAAAATGTTTATTAACCAATCAATGGTAGTGATAGGGACAAATGGCCAAATCACCTTTAAGTAACATCAAACCAAATATGGAGTTGATTTCAGTTGATTTAAGGTTATTTTGGTCACAGGGATCACATTCCCCTATCCCTTCCATTGATTTTTAGCTAGTGATGGCTAAAGTTAGCTAAATTTGTAGTGGCTGTTTAAAGAAAACCAAACCATGGATTACAATTTATCCTGGCCCATAGACTACTTACAGGGTGAGGAACCATGTAACATCAAGTTGAAAAATCATGAACTACTCCTTTAAGTAAGTAAACCTTGGACAAGTAAGCCTTTGCATGAGGACAGGATGCTAGTCTGTTGCAGGGCCTGACCCCCAATCCATCTCCTTAATGCCAAGTAGAGTGCCAAGTAGAGAGATGTCAGGTCCCATTTTTAGAGTCTTTGTTTGGACTTGACCAGGGATCGAACCCCCAACCTTCCAATCTCAGGGTGGACCCTAACAAAAATGACAAATTGAATACAATTTCAATTACGATCTTGTCTCATCGCTGCAACTCCCCAACGGGCTCGGGAGAGGCGAAGGTCGAGTCATGCGTCCTCCGAAACATGACCCTTAACACCTGCCCGCTTAACCTGGAAGCCAGCTGCACCAATGTGTCTGAGGAAACACTGAGCAAAGTAAGCCTGCAGGCGCCCAGCCCGCCACATGGTGTCGCTAGAGCCAAGTAAAGCCCCCGGCCAAAACCTCCCCTAACCCGGACGACGCTAGGCCAATAGTGCGCCGCACTATGGGACTTCCGGTCACTGCCGGATCGAACCCAGGTCTGTAGTGACACCTCAAGCACAGTTAGCAAGTCGGAAATTTCAGAGTTCCGACTAGCACGTGAATGTGGCATATTACTTGGGTAACTGGGGTCTTTGACAATTTTTAGGGCCTTCCTCTGACACCGTCAATAGAGAGCAATAGTAATGGCGTATTTTTGTAGGCACTAACTCCACCATGGTTCGTTGGACAAAGCCAATGAGAAAATGAATGTAGGTTTTGTCGTTTTTTTGGGATAAACGATCTTATATGTTTCGTTCTATGAGATAATCTTCATCAGCTAACATCCCTTTTTGTGATTTTTTTATGCATTTATGTCATCAAAAAACGCACACATGAAATGCTTCATAATTCATAAAGTTCATGTTAATTGACTGATATTATGTCATAGAACAAAATGTATAAGATCTAAGCCTGTGTGTAACCTCAGACCTTATTTTCGGTGTTTATCCCAAAACCCTATAATTTCTCTATGAATTTTCCCCATTGGAATGGCTGAACGAACCAGAGTTAGCCTAACTCATTTCCGCTTTTTAAGACAGCAAGCTCCATGGCTCACATTTCGAGAAGGGGACGTAGCTGCATCCCAATACGGCGACCGCAGAATGAGCGGGTAGGTGTGTCGAAAGGAAAGTACTGGTCTTGTGGAAAGGAGTTGGAGTTTCGAAAGCGCTCTGCTTTTGATTGAGCTGTTTTTTTTCTTCCGTTTCTTGAGTGGTAGCAAATCTGCCCTATTAGCTGATTCGCTGTCCATATACCCACCCGCCATATGGTGCGTTCAAGACAACTGAGGACTCTGAAAAAACTAGGTCAAATCATGACGTCAGTGATCTTAAGGTCGGAAACTTGGAGCTCTAGAAAGAGGCCCGAGTTCTCGACTTTGAATTCCGAGTTGGATGACCGTTCAAAACGAATTTTCTCTTTCGGAGCTCGTTTTTTTCCGAGTTCCCAGTTGTCTTGAACGCACTGAAGTCGGAGATTTCCGAGTTCAGAGTTCAGCGCTCCCAGTTGTTTGGAACGCGGCAATACACGGTCACTGCAGCTACCCATACTTGCATATTTCTGGGAGTGTCATCACGGTGTCAGCTGATCATATGACAGCGTGCGCGTAACCAAGAAGTAAACATTGCACATAGGCACGCAAAGAGGTAAGGAAATAAACACAAATCCCACTATAGTTAGAATATAAAATAATACTGACTTTGTATTTATATACAATACAAACAGAACAACAGGAGCATAGAATTATGCTGTTGTTGCGCGAACAGCTAGAATAGCTAAAAGGTTAGTAACTAGCTAACCAGCAGATCCGACACCTTATGCTTGCTTACAGCAACACTACAGGGTCGACCACCACTTTTGCATAAAGGTGCACTATGCATAAATCGCTCAGCCATTTCCTGGTTGCTAAGATTCTGATAGTTCGCCTAATTTCAGTTGATGTGACAAAACAAGCAGGTGTAGTGTAAAGAATCATTGTATAGAATGTTTAAAAAATAGTCTATAAGAGCGTCTGCTAAATGACTAAAATGTAAATGTATAATCTTCGTAAATGATATCATCGGTAGGACTGGTGGAGTTATGTCGCACATGCAGCTAACAAAAACATATGGAAATGTCTGCTCTACCCAAAATTACAACCATATATATATAATATAATTATTGTAAAATTAACTCTGTCCATAAGGTGTAGATAGTAAGTATAGACCGGAAGTAGAGGCCTGGGCATTGTTGTTCACTAATTTACTCCAAGTAGGGAAAGGATGGTGGGGTTGAAAAGTAATAAAGGGGAGTATATATATATATATTTTTAAAAAAACATGGGGGATTGGAAGTGATGCAGACCATCTAAACCGCTTGAAATATATTTTACATAACCAAAAATATTGTATTTTCAGCTGTTTAAAGCTGGTGTACAATACTGAAAGTAAAAGATGCAAAAACGAAACTTAAGAATGGAAAGCATAGAAATAGTGCACATAGAACAGCTCTACTGCTTTTTACGCTTGCTTTCAATGAGAATGACATATTTATAACGCACATGTGAATTTGGTGGGGTCGCCCAAAAAGTTACATTTACATTTTAGTCATTTAGCAGACGCTCTTACATATTGCAGCTTTAAATTAAGACACAGCTTGGAAAACGCACCTCAATCCAGGGATGAGAAATGCGTTTTACCTCGAATACTCCATAAATGATACACAGAGAAGATTCAAAGACTGCTAGTTTTTCCGAAAACTGCCCATTTTGTCCTAACGTTAACTAGCCAACTAAACTCAACGATTTACGATGGAGTTGAGTGGCGACTAGAGTGGGCGGGCTGGAGCACCGACGTCTAATTTCATCCCCCAAAGAATAGCCCGCAATTACACAGAACAGTGTCCTGTGTAATTGCGGGCTTGTCTTTGGGAGCTTAAACTACTTTCACTAGGCACCGCGCAACTCCATCGTAAATCGTGGAGTTCAGTTTTATTGGCTACATGTTAACTAGCAGTAGCCACAGCAGCCATTATGGAATGGCATATCCCGCTGAACAACAAATTAGCTGATTTGTCTGACACTGCCATTTCAAAATGGCTGATGTGGCAACTGGTATTTAGAATGACGACAAAAAGGGGCAGTTTTCTGGAAAACTAGCAGTTGTTCAATCTGGTCGGTGTAACAGTTGGGATTATGGGACAATTGATTCGAAGTTCTCAAAGCATTTCTCATCCCTTCAGTTCAACATCTAGTTTTGATTTACATTTGGTTGAGTTGTCAACTAACGTCAATTCAACATGAAATCAACAAAACATTTCACCATTGATGGTTCATTTCGTCATTGGATTTAGGTTAAAAGTTGGGTGAAAAAAATACAAAAAGCGTTGATGACTTTTTGCAAATCCAATTAGTTTTCCACGTTGATTCAACTTCATCACATTGTTTTTTTTGGCATGAAACGACGTGGAAACAATGTTGATTCAACCAGTTTTTGCCCAGTGGGTAGTAAGTAGCCTATTTGCTAAAATGCATGTGATTGCAACCTCTCTGCTTTGGCAACTTCAAATGGTTTGGATAACGAGTCTAGCTAGCTATCTTGTAAAAACTGTAATGTCACGTAGTTAATAGTTGTATTCTATTGTGAAAGGGATTCATCAAGACCAACTCAAATGGTGTCCCTGATCTGCACCTTGCAAGACCATCGCGACGATGTCAACTGTTGCGCGTTCTCCGCGACACTGCTGGCGACCTGTTCAGCTGACAAAACGTTACGAATTTACAACACCCAAGACTTTTCTGAAGTCTCATACTCCCCGCTCTCTGGCCACGGCTATGGCGTCCACTGTTGTTGCTTCAGCGCCTGTGGTCAGTATTTAGCCTCGTGTTCAACTGATGGTTCAACAGTTGTGTGGTCAACGGACACAGGTGAGATAGAGGCAGTGCTGGAGCATCCGGGTAGGAGCCCCGTCAGGGTCTGCGCCTTCTCGCCCGACTCTTCACACCTGGTTTCGGGGGCGTCTGATGGTACCTTAGGTCTTTGGGATTTCCCTACGAAAACACTGCACAGGTAAACTTGATTGATTGACATCCTTTATCTCCATGTCATCTATCATAAATAGGCCTACAGTAGGCCTGCGTGTGTTGCCTATATCAAGTGAGGCTTTGCTGGCCTCTTCAGACTGATATTATGTGTTGTCTCTTGCAGAGTGTTCTTAACTGATTATTTGTCAACAGGATGGGGGCAGTGAATGACACCACTATGGTGGCCTGCTCCTTCACCCCCTGTGGCCAGATGTTTGTCACTGGATCTACGTATGGGGACCTCAGGCTGTGGGACCTGGACATGAACCAGCTCCATGCGGAGAAGAACACTCACGACTTGGGGGTCACCTGCTGCTGCTTCGGCCCCAAGATCCTCAGTGGTGATGATGATGATGATGATGATGATATTTTCCTCCTCCTTCAATCTTTGAGTTGGCCTGTTTCCAGATCTGTTTGTACAAACATGACAACGATCATAGGAGTTGGCTTTACAGCACATCATTTTTATCTGGGACCAGGCTATCTTGGAGTCTCCATATATGGGAATTTGTTGAGACAGGTGTTGTTTGATTCATTTGCTCCCGTCTCTCTCAGGTAGTGGTGTGGTACAGTTCCGCCTGGCCTCCTGTGGACAAGACAGCACACTGAAGATATGGATCGTCTCCAGGTCCAACACAGGCAGTACGTTGACCACATGCTATGGTGATGCAAATGTGGTGTTTAGCGTTGAACTCAGTGTGTATTTGTTGATAATCAGATGATGTGGAGGATGTGTGTTCACAATGAACGATCTGAAGGTGTGGTCCATTCGCCCCCTCTGGCCTGTAGGTTGTAAGATGCAGCTGCTGCACACCCTGACCGGCCAGTCTGCCCCAGTGCTCTCCTGTGCTTTCTCTGCAGACGGACAGCTGCTCGTGTCTGGGTAAGTCAGCCCATAGGTGATCTATAGTAAAGCACTCTTACAGATAGTCAAGATAATGTTATACATTTACTCCAACTGGCCACAAGGGGGAGAAGTGTGTTGCTTTTCACCATTACCTTTTCTGTTGCAGCTCAGTGGACAAAACAGTCACAGTGTATGATGCTGTAAGTCACTCAAGCTCTTTTCATTACCGTAGATGTCATTTCAGTTTAACTCCCCATGTTAATGTTCCTCAAAGAAATCCATGAACACCTCCCCTCTCAACTTGAATGTTGTTGTTTTTTTCAGAGCCAGGGGGCTTTGCTCTACACATTGAACCAACATGAGAGGTAATCTTCCTTCTTACCCTTGGGACATAAGAGTCACATCTCAATAGCCTACTTTTAAAATGTATCTTTCCGTCCTCCCCTCCCATGATCCTTTGCTGTAGGTACGTGACGGCGTGTGCCTTCTCTCCCAGCAAACCTCTGATCGCCACGGGTTCTATGGACAAGACTGTCAATATATGGAGTGTAGAGGACGGACGCAGTGGCCATGGTGGGTAACACAGACACACACACACAAAGATGGACAGAAGTCTAAGAGATGAGGTGGAAGTACGTGAATTGACAAGCTGCCAGTGTTATTGGCATTAAGAATGGCATTAGCATTCTGAGTCACGGTGTGGGGTTCCTAGATAATGACTCACTATTTTCCCATGTGAACAAAGATCATGTTGACTTAATGGTGATGACAGCTTGTTGACTTAATGGTGATGACAGCCTGCCTGGTGATCTATGTGCTGTATTTGCATAAGCTCTTCTTTATTGATTATGGCTTGATTATGTTTTTTATTCTGTCAATCACCATCCCCCTCTCTGCATGGTTCATGGACAAAAAGAATGCAAATCTTTACCTGGTGAGTTTTTTAAATTTTCTTCCTTATCTGCACCACTCACGTCCCATCTGCTCATTGAAAGCAGTGCGGGATGGAGGGTCTCTATGTGAAACCTAGGAGTCCCACTGCTATCAAAGAGGGCTTTATCGAGAGTAATAGTTCTATCCCGGTGATAATGCCTTCTGCTAAGTCTTTCATAGCCTGTTGTGTTTCCAGGTGACTTTTACCTTGAAGCACTGCCTGCTGAGAACCGAATTGCTTTTCACTTTTAATGTGGATTCACTGTATTAGTATACAGAGTGTACAAAACATTAAGAACACCTTCCTAATATTGATTGCACCCCGTTGCCCTCAGAACAGCCTCAATTCGTCAGGGATTCATCAGTCTATGTTATGGAAAGATCAGGTGTTCATAATGTTTTGTGCACTCAGCGTTATATAGGCTCACAATGCTTTCTTCCTCCCCTTCTCTCACCTGATAGCGTTCTAAGAACCCGTACACAGCTCTTTCTAAGAGAGGCTTGTCAATAAAAGGCTTGAAATTCAATTACTGTAATTTTAAATACGTTAATGTTCATCGTTTTGTTGTTGTTTATGTGGAGTCTTACTGTGCTGTATAACATTTTTCACATCTTGTTTTCCAGTTGAAACTGCAAGATTCTCATCCGAAGGTGGGAAAGTGACTAAAAAGCACTATAGAAACGTTTGATTGATTACACGTTAATACCCATAGTAACAGCATGTCATTGAGAGATACTAACGTGAGGTCACTTCCTGTTTTCCGACCTATCAGGCAGAAAGTTGCCGGGTCACTCCAGGCTTCTGGTCAGTGATTGGTCAGAAGAGGATGTGGGGGCGTGGCTGTGCGACGAGGGGCTGGAGGCGCTGGTGGAAACCTTCAAGGCAAACAACATAGATGGAGCTGAGCTAATCAGTATGACCAAGGAGACACTGGCCTCAGAACTCAACATAGGTGGGGATGGAACATCACACCATAGACTATACACATTATCATAATAACATGCATTATCATACAGCTAATATACCAATGGTACATTATCATGTTATACACATTACCCACTTGTAATGTGTACAGTAGCTGGAAACAGCGCGTCATCACATAATATTTTTTAAGTAGGGGGAGGGGCAAATGAAAAACAAGGTAAACATTGAGGAATGAATGTTAATGAGATTTTCTCAGGATTACATACGCTTTAACTGTACAGCATTAGATTAGGCCATGTGTAATCTGCTTTAAGATTTCTGCTCCATTACATAACACAATCACTCATCCCAAAATACATATCCTGTAACATAGAAAATGGTTTACAGCTAATACCATTTCTGTCCGAAACAATTTCAAAATCCATCTGAAAATGTGATTTACAGATTTTGGTTGATCCGTATATCTTCTCTTTTAAATAAAGATCATTCACCATAGTAAGGAAAGTTAGTTTTTCCAACTCTTTCTCTGTGAGGTGGTAGGTGTGGGTCTGTTGATGGTCTCTCATGCCAATGGCAACCATGGTAACCAAACAGCCCTGTTCTCTAAAAGAGATTAATCTCTTAGTAAACATGGGTGCATCTCTCCTCTCTTCTCTCTGAGAGTGAGGGATGGCGCCATGCCAGGTTGTTATCTTCCTGATGGAGAGACTCTTTTTTTCCTCTCAGGGATGGAGAGGGCTCTTTTTTTGTGTGTGTGTGTCTAACACACACACGGACTGACCTCACTTTACTGTAGTCTCCATGGTGACCAGGAACTGGGTCATGTAGGCAGTGTGCTCAAGCCAGGATATCACGTCCACAAATGATGCAAGCCCCATTGGCCAATATACAATTTCCTCATATCTCTGCCTGGTTGTTTCCTGTTGGTGTACTGTAGAGTCGGTGGGGCTGCGCAGTAAGGTCCTGAGGAAGGTGGAGGAGCTGAAGGCGGGGTGTGTGTGTACCGGTGTTCCTGATGAGTTCCTCTGTCCAATCACCAGAGAGCTGATGAAGGACCCTGTTATCGCTGCAGGTGGGACATGCCCCCATGGCAACCTGTCTGGTTGTGCCTTTAGCTATCAAGATTCTATCAGTGCTACAATTTTTTTTGCAATACAGTGGCATGCTTTGAAAGGATGCAAAAAACCACTACCAATCTTGTCTGTCTTTTCTTCTGAACAGATGGGTACTCCTATGAGAGGGAAGCGATTGAGAGCTGGATCGCAACCAAGAATCGTTCCAGCCCCATGACCAACCTGCCCTTACAGACAACACTTCTGACCCCAAACCGAACCCTGAAGATGGCTATTGGACGCTGGAGGACCAGCCAGTGAGAAAGAGGGGTCCAGGGGCGTCTTCTACATCCCTTTCAATCCAAAGACTGTCTATCCCTCAGTTAACTTCTGACCAAAAGTAGGCTGATAGTACATTCAGCTATATATGATGATGTTTTCAGGTAGACCATACTGAGCTTCTATTCAACCCCTCACTGGGTCTGCACTTTCTCTCTTGGGATGAAACTACTTTAGAATGTAAATATTTATAGCTGATGAGATATTCTAATATATATATATTCTCAAACTCATGCATGTAGACCATGTTTAACTCTGCTATTTACTCTACGGCTTTAGCTCCAAAACCATTTCATGGATGATGATGCAATGTAGGCATTTTGATGGGATACTGGTGTAAACAACAGAAGTGTTCTATCTATGGCTAAAGTTATATAACCGAGATCGCTACAACAGATGCCGGTACACACGCAATTGTACACATGGGTGTTTGAAATGAGTGGAAGGGAGATGACATTATGAAAGGGAAGACTGATGTCATTTTGGTTTTCCAAAGAGGTTTTATTTTATTTCCCCATGATGATTATGGTAGTAGTGCTTGAGCACAGTCGGTATAATGTGTAGCATAGCTCACAAATCAAAGATGGCAACAATGTACATGTAGAATATCAATATCATCTCACCAATAATACCCTTACAAGCTCTTCTGTACCTTACTGTAAACTGTTACAAGCTCTTCTGTACCTTACTGTAAACTGTTAATGTTGTGCGCACATAAACTAAATACATCCATCAACTTTTCAAATGTTTCTCTAGCTGTGCAAAAATAACTATATAAAATATATTGCTCTTACAACTGACCAAGCCATCGGCACAGTAGATAAGTGAACATAGACCGCAACAACAAGCAGTTACAACAATGTCCGTAGGATTATATGTACACTTAATTAAATATGATTATTTATAAAATGTACAAAGGTATAGAACCCTCCATGCATTGTGAACCACTTTGCATTGAGGGCTTCGTTTTACTGACAAAGGCTGTCACCACTTATATAATCTATAAATATAACACATACAAATCTAATGTATAAACATCCCTATTCAATATGCGTGCCGATCATTAGCCAATCGTTTAATCAAATGGCTTCTCGTCCATCAGTATCGAAACCCTTTAGTGTTTACAAACTACATCATAGTTACATTGTTATAATGGCCCATAGTAGGATGCTGTGCTACTGTTTGGCTATTGGGCTGGTACTATAGGGGGGTTCCGAGGGTTGATTATGTGCACTGTATTGTTGGCTTATTGGAGTTGCTCTAGGCATGCTTACGCAAAAGCACAAAAGCCTCATTCTGCTTAAGTCTAAATGCAGTGCATCACATACACTGTGTTAGATTAAGAAATGCACTTTTAAACCGTTCCCTTGCCACCGTTTCTCTGGAATACATATGGTCCATTGTCCAGTAAGTTGTTATGGTGTCTGCACCTGCGTTTGTGCTTGAATGAATGTACGGTCAGTTCAGACGTTGGATTCTATAAAGGAGCGTTTAGGTTTGATGGGTAGGATGGCTGGGTTATCTCTGGTGAGCCCTGCCTGCCGGTGGTTCCCGTCTGGGAACTGGGAGGAGTGCTGTAGGCCTGCAGCTGGACCTGGTCTTGGCTCCCTGTGGTAGAACCTGTCTCCAAACTCCCTGGCCAGGGCCTTGGCCTGAGCCTGTTGGGCCAGGTGTTGGGCCTGAGCCTGGGCCCCGTTGAGCACCTGGAGGGGAGCCTGGCTCTGCAGTGGCTCAGCGTAAGACGACCTCTGCTTGAACTCATTATTCAATCCCTGGATGTTGTCCATAGGGGCCATGCTGTGTCGCTGGTTCTCTAGACCTCCAGGGGAGAGTGGCTGGGAGTGAGGCTGACCTTGCCAGCCCAGTCCAGGTGGGGGCTGCCCCTGGACACGCACTGCCTTGTCCTTCACCCCCATGAAGGGCCGAGGCTTGAGCTCTGGTTTAGCCGGTTTGGGGCGAGGCACGTCGGGCCCCTGAGGCACCTGGGTCCTGCCGCTGTCTGACAGGGTCCCGCTGGAGGCTAGGCTACTGCTAGAGCTGGAGGCCCTCATACTGCCCGTCTGACCACCAGAACGCAGACCGGGGCCAGCCCACCCCCCAGCACCCTCCCTCCTTACCTCCTTACCAACCCCAGGGGTGAGGGACCCAGCCTGGCCGTCCAGCGTGGTGCCGGGGTGGGCTGAGAGCCTGTCTGTTCCCCTAGCCAGGCTGGAGGAGTGGCCCTGGAAGGGCTGGACAGATGAGGAGGAGGAGGAGGAGTGGTGGTGGTTGGCAGGGGTGAGCCCCGGGTGGTGGTCTGTGGAAGAGGAGGGCAGAGGGCTGATGTCGATGCCCAGGCCAGGGCTGGGTCTCAGGGAGGTGGAGATGTGTCTGCCTGGCAGGGGGCTGGAGGGGCCACACAGAGACATAGGCCTGCCCCCTGGTCTGCCCCCTACCTGCAGGGAGTTACAGTGCTGCTGCTGCTTGGTCTTGATGCTTTGGTTCTGTCTAGGATCCTGTAGGACAGGGCCCTGCTTGTCCAGAGACAGGTGGGCCTGTGTGGACCCATCCGGGGGGGAACCAGGCCTGGGGTCCTGGGGAGCTAAGCCCACCGCGCCTGGTACTGGTGGGAGAGCCCTGTTGGGTCCATAGGGGTTCCTGGGCCTGTTGGGCCCATAGGGGTTCTGTGAGGGCTCTTCCTTTCCCCCTATCTCTTCATAATCATCATCTAGTTCATCCTGGCTCTGTGTATCAGAACTCCTCTCTGTGTCCTGGCTCCTCTCTGTGAGGTCGTCGGGAGTCTGACTGTGTGCTGCTTGGGGGCCCTGTGGTGTGTTGGGGGACTGCTGCTGTTGTTGTTGACACTCGTCCTCCACACGCGTCAGCAGACGGCGGATCTCACGGTTGGTGGGGCAGAGCCGAGACGCCTCGTGGAGGTCGGCTATCGCCGCCGCATACTGCCTGGATGGACACATGAGGTGAACATAGTGTGAGGTGACAAAACTGTTCCCGTACATTGTAGTCCCTCTCTTTATATCAGTATTAACTGAGAAGTGGTCTGTACTAACCTGCTGCTCCTCTTGGCTCGTGCTCTGGTGTAGAACGCCTCATAAGACTTGGGTTTCAGTTCCAGGGCTTTGGTGGCAAACTCCTCCGCTATTCCAAAGTCCTGTTGAGAAAAAGAGGACAGAAACCCAACTGTGAATTATGAATGTTTACTGTTAAATTCTGTCCACTCTGAATTTCTCACGGAGAACCCAAAACCAACGTCTTAAGGTCATTAGCCAGGGTAATGTGTTTGTGAGTGTTAATGAGTGCAGTGTGAATCCAGCGGGTAGTCTATACAGCGCCACACTTTGCAATTACTGTAAGTGACTGGAATGAGGAATTCAGCGTTGTTTAACTGGAGAATTATTAATCTGTGTGCAGCTCAAAGCAGAGCAGCTTTCTCTCCCAGTGTCTTAATGGATTCTCCAGACGGGTGCTCATAGCTTCTCTCCAACCCGTAAAAAAAAAATAACTCCTTCAATTAGTTGTCGGAAATTATAACTATTGACTCTTACAGGTACAATGCTCAATATAAAATCATTTCTGGGTAACAATTAAGTACCTTCCTGTCATTGTTTTCATAAACATTTTTTAAATGAGAAACTAAAATGGCTTCTTAGCAAAGAGCAATTTCTCAAGCAATCATTTTGCTAGGACTGTCTAGGAGTGGTCTGAGTGTAGAGGGGAAAACTGAAAAATAGCTGTTATTGACAGAGCGCTTTGGAACTCTCTTATTGGTCTATTAACTAATCTACCATCAAACAGCTCTTACAATAAAAGTGCATTATAATTTCACAGTATTATTCCAACCTCATAGTGTGGAAATATATATAAAACACAGGGAAATCATGTTTTTGACTGAGCTGGGCCTTTAATGGTGATTTCATAAACACCTCTAGTGGCCCTTGTGTGCGTGCGTGTACAATATGTCTGTGTGTGTACAGTGTGTGTGTGTGTGCATGCCTGCGTGCACAGTGTATCCATCCATCTCTGGTATGCCTAGAGAGTATGCAGTTGGCTTGTTTTTAAATGAGTTTCCCTGCTTCCCTCATTCCTCTCAGGTGAATATTTAATCAAGCAAACCACAGTGTGATTCCGTTCTTGAGATGGCGGTCGGCATTACACTACAGCCTTGAAATTAACAGCTCTGAATAACTGTTCAATGTTTAATGACAGTATTTACGGCCTCTGTAGTCCCACTCCCCTCCTGTTCTATTCACCTGCAGCATGATGAAATATGGATGATATGTGTGCCTAGCCAGCTCTCTCTCTTCCCCCTGACCCAATACCCACCAGCAACAACAGAGGGAGGATCCCTTCTTTCCGTGTGTGTGTGAGTGAGTGATTACTCCAGTATATGGGAGAGGATGACCGTATCACATCATAGCATTCTTCCATTACTCATTTGCCTGAGGATGCCATTTGACCACCACCACTCTAGTATAAAATGTTATTATATTGTCTGGTAAAACAAGGGTGTGTTAGATCACTTCCTCCAGGCTACTGAGATGAAGATCTATCCATTATACCTACTGCTATACTATTCTAGATTTCATTCAATGTTAAATTCTATAAAATAGCTAAACGAGTAGTGTGTAGCTATATCAGGCGACGTAATACCTGCAATTCTATTAATAATACCTGCAATTCTATTAATAATACCTGCAATTCTATTAACTGATCGAGTAATGTGTGTGCGTGTGCGTCTCACATTGGTTTTCCTGCGGCAGCGTGACAGGTTGAGGTACAAGGAGACACGGAGCTCTTTCAGGCCCTTCAGGTCGTCTCCGAAGCCGTCTCGGGGGAACTTCCTCAGGGCGGACTGATACCTCTGGGCTGCCTCCTTCATCCTCCCCTTCTGGAGAGAGAGAGAGGGGGGTGGAGGGGGAGGGAGAGATGGAGAGAGAATACAGACATTGATTTGGAGATAGCAGATTCTCTAACTGAACACACTTTCATGACAGACAGTGACATGCATACACATACACTTACCTTATACAGCAGGTTGCCCTCCTCCATGACTTTCTGTAGGAGGATGAGGAGGACGTCTGGTTTGGATGTGGCCATCGCCCACGTAGCATGACCTGATCAAGTGGTAAGAGAACACAGGTTAAACACGCTCACTCACACACACAATGCTGTAAAAGGTATCTAAAGAAAGTACCTGATCGATCATAAGGGGATGTTCTGTAGCCTTTTAGCAGGTAGAAAGCAGTGAAGAGAAAGAGGGGTGAAATACATTATTTTGATAGCAACTTCCTCAAGACCCTGCAGAGGTTTAACACTGACAGATCAGGTCAACTCAACTCACCCAGCTTGGCCCCTTTCTTCAGTAAGGTCACTACTACAGCAGTGTTCCTACAGCCCACAGCCCTCTCCAGAGGCTTCACCCCACTGTGGTCCACATGTTCCACAACTGCACCCTTCTCCACCAGGTACTGAACCTGTGGTTGTAGAGGACACGACAAAACAAACAGCATTTTAAAAGGACAAAGCTGCTGGAGGGAATTTTGCAAATTCAGTACTGTGTTTAAAAAAATCTACAATCTAGGCCAGTTTTAGACAATCTAGGACAGTGGCAGCAAAATCAGAATGATGTCTGTGTATCAATTTTTTCTCCAGTTTGCATTATTAGAAAGAACCGCACCGTCTCTGCGTCACCGTTGAATGCTGCCAGGTCGAGAGGGGTACGTCCGTTCCTGTCAGGGTGGTCTATCTCTGCCCCCCTCTCCACCAGGAGCTGCACCATGGCCTTCTGACCCTTCAGACACGCCCAGCTCAGAGCTGTCTGGCCCTCCTTATCCACAGAGGCTAAAGAGGCGCCTGGAACCAGATCAAAAATAACATGCTCGCTCCACTGCAACTGAGTCTGACATACACTCAGTGGCCAGTTTATTAGGTACACCCATCTAATAATATTAAATAATAATATGCCATTTAGCAGACGCTTTTATCCAAAGCGACTTACAGTCATGCGTGCATGGGTGGTCCCGGGGATCGAACCCACTACCTTGGCGTTACAAGCACCGTGCTCTACCAGCTGAGCTACAGAGGACCACATACTGTGGCTGACCCCCCTTTGCCTCCAGAACAGCCTGAATTCTTCAGGGCATGGAAACGTTGCTCAATTAGTATCAAGGGACCTAACGTGTACCAGGAAAACATTCACCACACCATTACACCACCGCCACCAGCCTGTACTGTTGACACCAGGCAGGATGGGGTCATGGACTCATGCTGCTTACGACAAATCCTGACTCTGCCATCAGCATGACGCACCGGAAACCGGGATTTGTCGGACCAGGCAATGTTGTTCCACTCCTCAATTGTCCAGCCGCTTCTTCTTGTTTTTAGCAGATAGGAGTGGAACCCGGTTTGGTCATATGCTGCAATAGCCCATCCGTGACAAGGACTGACGAGTTGTGCCTTCCAAGATGTCGTTCTGCACACCACTGTTGTACTGCGCCACTATTTGCCTGTTTGTGGCCCGCCTGTTAGCTTGCACGATTCTTGTCATTCTCGTTCGACCTCTCATCGACGAGCTGTTTTTGCCCACAGGACTGCCGCTGACTGGATGTTTTTTGTTTGTCGCACCATTCTCGGTAAACCCTAGACACTGTCGTGCGTGAAAATCCCAAGAGGCCCGCCGTTTCTGAGATACTGGAACCGGTGCGCCTGGCACCGTCGATCATAGTATGCTCAAAGTCACATAGGTCACTAGTTTTGCCCATTCTAACGTTCAATCGAACCATAACTGAATGCCTCGATGCCTGTCTATATAGCAAGCCACGGCCACGTGACTCACTGTCTGTAGGAGCGAACCATTTTCGTGAACGGGGTGGTGTACCTAATAAACTGGCCACTAAGTGTATACTGTATATCTCCAAAATACAAAAAAATATCTTAAATGACACTCTTTCCCCCTTAGTGCAGTGAGAATTACCATGTACCATGATGTGACCCTGACTCTTGACCTCTCACCCTTTGTCAGCAGGAAGTCAGCAGTGCTGAGGTGGCCCTCGCTGGCTGCCACCATCAGCAGACTGCGGCTCTGCTTATCGATGGTGTTAATGTCCACACCGCGCTGCAGCAACAGCTCTGCTACCTGAGAGAGAGAGAGAGAGAGAGAGAGAGAGAGAGAGAGAGAGAGAGAGAGAGAGAGAGAGAGAGAGAGAGAGAGAGAGAGAGAGAGAGAGAGAGACACACAGAGAGACACACAGAGAGACACACAGAGAGACACACAGAGAGACACACAGAGAGACACACAGAGAGACACACAGAGAGACACAGAGGCCATCAGTGGTGGCAAATTAGAAGTCTAACAGAAAGACTCATCAGAATGATTCTCACCTGGGGGTGTCCATGCCTGATGCAGCTGAAGAGTGGGACCACCCCCCTACGGTTGGGCTGCTCCGCCCCTGCACCCCTCTCCAGCAGGTAAACACATGTCTCTGTCCTGCCCCGGCCCGCAGCCGCACTCAGAGCTGAGAGAGAGAGAGAGACCCAGAACAGTGGTCAACTACCTACTTTACCACTGTGCTCTGAATTAAAGTAATCTTTGTTTTTGTGTTATTGATTGTTTGGAGACAGTTCTAATGTACTTCACTCTAGTAGTTTAGCACTACTGTTGAACAATTAAAGGACACACAGCAAGATTAGAGAGAGTAAGAACTGAACGAGAGTATAATATTGGCAACACATGCAATGTGAGCTGCAGTACACTGTGAACAGAAAACGTCACTGAGTATGACTTTCAAATACTATTTTTAGACTGGCCAGACTTCAGTGGGCCCATATCTCCCTATACTCTCTAGAGAAGCAGGGTCTTAGCTGAGGCTGTCAAAAGTCTTACAGCTGGCCTGGCAGAGAGAGAGACAGATTTGATGGGTATTGGCAACAGCTGGCCCAACCAGCCATCTAGTCCTGGGTATGGAGCATCCATCCAGACAGTATTTACCTCCCAAAAGGTACCCTACTCCCTAATTAGTGCACTACTTTTGACCAAAGCCCATAGTGTTCTTGTCAAAAGTAGTGCACTATATAGGGAATAGGGTGCCATTTGGGACACACCCAGACAGTGCAGACCAGGGAAGCTGAGATCAGACAGGTACTAATGCGGTCCCAGGAAGGCCAAGAAAATCATCAAGGACCTCAGCCACCTGAGCCAAGGCCTGTTCACCCCGCTACCATCTAGAAGGCAGAGAAGGTACAGGTCCATCAAAGCTGGGACCGAGAGACTGACAAACAGCTTCAATCTCCAGGCCATCAGACTGTTAAACAGTCACCACTAGCCGGCCTCCGCCCAGTACCCTGCCCTGAACCTTAGTGACTGTTACTAGCCGGATGCCACCCGGTACTCTACCCTGAACCTTAGAGCCTGCTGCCCTATGTACATTGTCATTGAACACTGGTCACTTTAATAATGTTTAAATACAGTTTTACAAACTTTATATGTATATACTGTATTCTAGTCATGGCTCATTCTGTATAACTACTGCTGTACACACCTTTTCTATTCATATACTGTCCATAACGTCTATTCACACCATCATAGACATATATATTTATAATCTGGACTGACATTGCTCGTCCTGTTATTTCTTAATTCCTTTATTTGTATTTGTTGGATTTGTGTATATTGTTTTGTATTGTTAGGTATTACTGCACTGTGGAGCTAGAAACACAAGCATTTCACTGTGTGTTCAATATGTGTTAAATATGTGTAAGCGACCAATGAAATTGTATTTTATTTTATTTGACGCAGCCTCCTGCTTCACCTTGGCTAGGATGATGAAATACTCACAGGAGAGGTGACATCACCCATCTGGTTCTGGAAGCCAGTGGAGAGGGAATGATGACATGACTGACATCTGTGGGAGCAGTGTAGGGTACGCCCTCCCCATCTGTCCCACCGATGGTTCCACATGAGCACATACGCAATTACAAATCACCTCACTCATTTCATTTCCCTTATCTAATTTCCCTTCACACCAGAGCAAAAAAGTTGAGATAACGAAATACTTTCATAATTAAAAAAATATTGTGGCTATGATATTACATTTTGGAAGACTCTCTTGTGACTCCACACTTCTCAATCTGAGATAAGGCAGACGTGCATCACTGACTCATGAATCAATACACAATTGCGGATTCATGCCTGAACAGCTGTGCTTCTGTTGTCAATGTCAAATATCTGACGAGAGTTTAGAGAAATGTGAGTCTGTTAACCTGGCTGACCTGCAGACTACATGCACAGTGAGAGGAGAGCTGTCAGTCAGAGTCAGTTGCTTTAACCAGACAAGGAGTCTGTGGCTTTGGGGTTAAATCCCAGACATGAGAGGACTCATGCCAACAGCACTGTTCAGCTGGTTTGCCAGACCGCCCCAACCAACAGCTGTGTGGTAGAGTCAGTGATGTCACATTAGGTGTGGCCAGAGCCATATATTTAGAAATATGTCTCTGGGTGTGGTCTTCTGTCTGTTTTTGAGTAAGCTGGGTGTGATATGTAAATATCCTGTTGCCATAAGGTGTGAGTAGGTAAGGCTCCATAGCTCAGTGGTTAGAGCACTGGTCTTGTAAACCAGGGGTCGCGAGTTCAATTCTCGCTGGGGCCTTGATTGTGGAATCAAATGTTTTGATCCAAAAGGGAGGTTTTCATATTGAAAATATACTTTTTGAATAAAGACCAATGAGTTGAATGGGTTGAATGGGGCCAATGAGTTGAATGGGTTGAATGGGGCCAATGAGTTGAATGGCTCCTACAGCTAGTTCACCAACAAGATTAAAAACATGATCCATTGATGCTATCCAGTTCTATCAAGTACTTCCCTACAGTTATAAATACTACTTCTGACAACTCTCACGTATGTCAGTGACCTTGATGACAGACACACAGCAGCAACAGATACGATAATTTATCTGCTCCATGTTATTTAATTCACGTACAGTAAACCTTTGGTGTCTCACCCACAGAGGAGGTAGACACAGACAGACAGACAGACAGACAGTAGCCTGCCCTCCAGGGAGAATAACTTAATTCTTCTCCACTAATGAGAAGCCACCAGGCACGGGAACACATTTGCATAGAGAGAGGACAATTTCACAGGCAGAAGTACTCAAGGATTTCTTTCACCGAATAGATTGGAAGTGAAAATCATTCAGCATACAGTAGATTATCAAGATTCTCTACCATGGAAGGATTTGTCGATGTGAAAGAAATATTTATAAAATGAAACAAATCCTAGACTGAATGGTAAACCCAAACAATAAAACAAACAAAGGCCATTGACATTTCACTATTGTTTATTTTATCACCTAGTCAGGTCTCTGTAATCAACCTAAATCCATGATTTCCTTCAATTTACCTCTAAATAGCCTATTTTGTATTCTATATTTGCATCTGCCAGGTTATTTTCATTCAGGATTGACTTCCAAATGTTGGTACCAGTAGCCAGCAATTGTATGTATGCTTCCAATTGGCAGTGGTTGAGTGCTGTCTATCCCCCAGCCTATGTATTTACTGAGAGCCACAGAAACACCAATGATTGTATTAGAGTATAATGGATATAAGAATCAAGCCAGGTTGAACATCCTTTTAGGAGATGGAGGTAATACCTTCTGATATCTACACCAGCTTCTTTGTAAGAGTTTCATCATCTAATAACACCAGACTTTTCTTTTATATTTTAGTCATTTCACAGACGCTCTTATCCAGAGCGACTTACAGGAGTAATTAAGGTTAGGTGCCTTGCTCAAACTGTTAACACCTCCGCCGCTTAAATCTTCAGCAGAGTCAGTCAGTGTAACCTGCCATCTTAAGTATTGGTTAAAAGTAGCTCAAGTACTGTACACTCTTCAAGCCTCTCTTCCCCAGTGAGCTCACCTACATCTATGAGTCCAGAACAAGCACCTGGGCTCAATATCACTTCGCTTGCATCCTATGCTACAGTAAACAGTAAATGTACAGTGGGCAAGTGGAGACCTGAGAAGCTCACTAGGAAGTGAATAAACAACAAATGATCTCTGCTGGTAAAACAAACGCTAACCACCACCTTTGGAGAGGCAGCGAAAACAAGCTAGATTAAAAAGAGTATGAGGAAATAATATAAACATTATTATATAGACAAAGGTAAAGTGCACTGTACCAGTCTCTCCCCAGAGAGTGTCGGGAGCATCTATCTGCACAGCCAAATCTTCATCTTTCAGCTCCAGTAAGCTCTTCACAACCTGACAATGAGACAATATTATGCACAATAATTATACACGCTAACTATTATAAGCAATCCACAAAGGTTGAATCTGAAGAGAGCGTACAGTGTGTGTGTTCGTGAGTGTGTGTATGCAGTAGCCTACGTGCGTGTGTCCCATGCTGCAGGTGGCGGTCAGGGCCTGTTGTAGGACTTGGCCCTTCACACTGCTCTTCACACCGTGCTGCTGTTGGCCCTCAGGGGCCTCTGTGGGGCCCCAGTCCTGGCTCAGCAGGTAGTGGATGATGTCTGGGTGGCCCCTCAAACCAGCATGGACCAGGGCACACTGACCACTCTTATCTACATGGCCTACCTAGAGGGAGAAACACTGATCAATCAATCAATTCATCTAATGTATTTATACAGCCCTTTCAACATCAACAGTTGTCACAAACATATTTACCGTAACCTAGCCTAAACCCCAAAGAGCAAACAGAAGCAAATAATGATGATACATGACTATAAGTTATAACTTATGAAACAGTGAAGCTGGGCAACAACAACAGCAGATCAACTTCCAATTTGATTGTCTATTTGGTTGAATTGTCAACAAGTTGAGATAACGGCGTGGGACTAACAACTGACCACTGACCTTGGCTCCCTTCTTACAGAGCAGGCTGACCAGTCCTGTGTGTCCTGCTGCGGCGGCCAGACAGAGGGGGGTCATGCCGCTGTCCGAGGTGCCGTCTATGGGCGCCCCCATCTCCAGCAGCAGGGACACCATCTCAAGGTGACCCAGGTGGGCGTGCACACCCAGCACAGGGGAACGGCCGAGCACCTCGGAACGCCCGCTCACACTCGCCCCGCCCAGCATCAGCAGACGACTCACCTGTAGGTACAAAAATTTTTAAAGGTGTGCGTATGTGTACGTGCGTGCATGCGTGTGAGTCTCTCACCTTTATATTGGGTGTGCAGAGGTGGGTGTGTGTGTCTCACCTTGACGTTGGGTGTGTAGAGGTTTCTGAGGGAGGCCAGGGCGGCAGAGAGGCTGTCTGTGCTACAGCTCACCCACAGAGCCTGCAGAACACTGGAGGACACACCCGTCCTCTTACTCTGACCCTGAGAGAGAGGGAGCCAGAGACAGGGAGAGAGAGAGACTGGTTTAATACTTCCATAACGCACCATCGACCTCCCCCAGTGTATGAGGGGAAGAGGAAGGCGAGACAGGCTACTGTCCTGTAATATTTTAACATCCCATTAGTAGTCCATTCAGACATACTAGCTGGTACCTTGAAGATGTGTGCTTTCAGGATATGATGTCCCAGCTCCATGGTCTGCTGTCGGTTCAGCTTGCCCTCCTGTCTGGAGAACATGAAGGCCAACAGAGCATGGCCACTCCTGGGGTCACAGAGGAAGTCGGTGCTCTCTCCGTCCGCCCTCCACACTAGCCACTCTCTAAAGGAGGGATGGAAGAGCATGCGGGTGCCGTCCCTGCGCCTCAGCTAGAGGGACATGACACAAGATTAGACAGCGTTGTTGTCATAAATCTACATGTTTCTGAGGTAGTTACTATATCATCACTGGGAGCCAAGTGCAACTCCCACAGAGTGAACGTAACTCAATGCAATGATTGTATCCTACTTCCTGGCCTACTTCCTGATCTAGCTAACAACGTATGGCCGTATCTCAATAGTCTTTCACATATTATCTCCTCACCAGGACGCAGGCCAGGGTCTCCAGGCGTTGTTGGAAGTCCTCCCAGGACATCTCTCCTCTGACACCCCCAGCATTCAGCGCCCGGAACAGCTGCTCGTCCGTCAGCGGGTGTAACGAGGCCAGCACCACGTTGAGTACGGGCAGCACCCGCTCAAAGGTTTGGTCCCCTTCGAACCCCGCATGGCACTGCAGCAGGTACACCTGATGATGAAGAGGCCCACAATGGAAATAAGTCTGTTGACTTGATTGTGTTTTTAATTCTCAACTATTTTTGATGTGTGTTGTACTCCCATGGCTAGAGCAACTCTATGGGCCGGTATCCCAGGCACAGATTAAAAAACTATTTCAATGGAGATTCTCTACTGACCATGCTTTTTAGTCTAGGACTAGACTTAATCTGTGTCTGGGAAACCGGCCCTACATGTATTTTACATTTGCCAAACATTTGTCAAATAAAATTAATTAATTCAGTCACCTCAGCCAGAGAGACGGGCACTACCATGTAGTTGCCTCCCTTGAGGACCAGGTGGGCCCTCTGGAACAGGTCCAGGGTCAGTTTGATGTAGAGGAAGGAGCCCTGGCTGCGAGAGGCCAGGTGGGTGTTGAACTTGCTGAGGAGGAGGGGGTCGGGGATGGTGCCGTTGGGCGTGGTGACGTTGGCGGCAATCTCGGGGCTGACGATGACACGGTGTTGGATGTAGTCGCTAAGGTCCCCTCCGATCTCGCTGCTCTCTGGGAAGTCATCCAGTGAGAGTCTGGAGAAGGGTAGGAGGGTGGTGATCTCCTGGGGAGACAGGAAACAGCGATTATATTGTAGAATTGTATATGCTGTGGATTTATGGGCCTCCTGGAGTGCACTGTACAACATCAGAACCGTATATCATATACTGCATTCTCAATCAAAGTGTACTGTAGCGTGGTTATCGCTCAGAGTTGAACTTAGTCCACACACAATACAACCATGAGCCCAGGAGCACACCGCAACTTCCCACCCAAGAGTCTGCAGTACAAAATCAATACAATACAACACAGTACAATTATATCCTGCAGCTCCTGCCTCACAGCAGAGATAACCCTTTGTTCTAGTTGTGACAGGTAACTTGAAAGACAAAAAACACTGAATAATACAAGTGATGATGAGAACAGTGTTGGCTCACTATGGTGGTACAGTATGTGCCAGGACAACAGATGAGTCAGGGAAAAGATATCACCCATCACGTCTCTTCAAGCTGCTGCTTTTTTTGTAGGATCTTAATTTGACCAGTTTTCTCACAGCAAAATAATCCTGCAGCAACAGGGTTTGAACGTTTAGTCCATAATGTTGCTTGATTGGTGGTTAGGCAAAAATTTGCTGGACAAAATGAGGCTACATGAAAAGTGCAATACTATTAATATAACCGTGTTTTAGTGCGGGTTTTCAGTGAAGTCTTATCTGCATTTCCTGTGGTGCATGAAAATTCTCAGCACTAAAGGAGTGATCAAATTAAGATCCTACAGCTGTATATAGGGAATAGGGTGCCATTTGGGATGAAACCACTGACTCTCATTCTGCCAGCTTTCTCACTGAATCACATCAAAGCTCTTCAGATGACAGATGCCATCAGAAATGGTGACGTTTGAGCCAAGAAAAGAAAATTACAGCCATAAACGAATAAATAAAATGCAATACCTAAGTTATTATGAAATTATTATTGCTGTTTCATTTCCTTGCTGTGCATGCACGATTTTATTAAAGTGCGGTGATCTGACGATTTCACAGTGCCCTGGTTGCATAGCAACCACTATGGGACCGTGCCTAAAACAGGATATTGGCAACTTCCTGTGAAAGGACCAATGGGGAGAGGAGAGAGGATAGAGAGCAGGCAGGGGGATCAACGTCTAACATCCCTTGCCAACACACTCACACACACTCATGCACGCACGCACACACTGTAGCGGCCTGTGGTGTCCTCAGCACTCCTGTTACGTAACGTCAGGCAGGCTCCCAGGGGCATTACGGCCCGGAGTGGTAATCCAGGAGGATTATGGGAAGTCTGCGTTAGGCAGATGTGTCAGGCCGGCCGCTCAGCTCATCCGGAGGGATCAGTGGCCAGCCAGCAGGCTGGAGGAAACCACAGCCAACGGGCCCTGGTGGAGTAAGCTGACCAGCTAGACTGAGCTACTGTACCTCTGGGACAGACCAGCAAAGCAATACTGTATGAGACACACAAATGAAGGCCAGAGAACTATGGGTAAATCCAGATTTACTAAGCTTCTTTTAGTTAAAGTGTAGCAGGAGAAAGTGAGACCTGAATCAGAGACTCGAACCATAGCTCCTACGGTGCACAAACAAGAGACTAACAGACTGTACTGTACCACAAAAGCCTGGAGGCAATGCATCACTCACATACACTGGTTACGATAGTTTATCTTTGCTTTGTGACTGTCCTCTCCTCACCAGCAGGCAGGTCCTGACAGTGACCAACAGTTTGAGCCAGGAGGGGAACTTGGAGATGATCTTGGTGATGAAGGAGGCGATGGTGTCTCCGTAGTCCGGCTTGTGGAACTCTGCCTCGTTCAGACCATCGACCAGGAGGATGAAGTCTTCTTCCGGGATCTTGCTTTCTACACAGGAGAACAGAAGGGTGGTGGAGAGGGAGAAAGGGGGAAGATGGGAGAGGAGAGAGCGAGAGAGAGAACAAGTACATAAGATGTGGCAATAATTTAAGTAGGTTTAGAATGCAAATGTAACGCACATAACTTTTGCGTTCCAAACTTATTTCGAAATACTGTACATGCCGCAGCAACTGTTTGAATTGATATGGTTGAATTCCACAATGGCAATTGTTTTTTGTTGCATTGTCAAAATGCCACCCTTAATGTCAGAAAATAAGAAAGGGGAGTTGGTTGTGGTACTCAATGAGAATATCAGCTGAAAAACCACAGTGCAGGCAGGAGGTAAGAGATCGACGTGTGCAGGCTCTGGAATATCTAACCTTGGGTCCGTCCAAAATGGTACCCTATTCCCTATGTAGTGCCCTACTTTAGACCAGAGCCCTGCTTCCATTCCCCTTTCCCCTTTTATACATAATGAGTCATGTCACAGAGGGACCTCAGATGGAGGGTGAGAACACCAGTCACCTCTCCTCAGTCTCCTGTATGGGCCCTCATCATAGCAACCATTACTTTTAATAAGACAGGAGAGGGGTGATCACAGAGGCATATCTATCCTGTTCCAGTCTACCTGAGCGGGTCGATACAGCCCAATACAGCCGTTCCTGGCTGTGTGGCTCTTACATCACTCTCATACACTCTGCCACAGTCATCCCCATCTCTACTAATCCACATCATAAAGACGGAGGACATGTTGATTCCTCTATAACGAGCCAGTGGTGGAGGCTACTGAACTAACAACCTATTGATTAGGCTGACTGGCTACTCTATCATGAGATAGACTGAGACACACTGGCTTTTACCAGAGATGGTCTATTACGTTGATATGGCCTTTGCTGTTATGACCTTGCAAGTCCTGCCCTCTTGTTTTTCCCTATACAGTAAGAATAATACATTGGATTAAAGCACTGAGTCTGCGTTTACACAGGCAGCCCAATTCTGATCTTTTGCCCAATTATTGGCAAAAGTACTGATCTGATTGGTCCATAGACTCATTAGTGGAAAAATATCAGAATTTGGCTGCCTGTGTATAAGCAGCCTTATAATGCTGATCATTGCTAAAATACTGCATTTTCAGATTTTGTTTTGTTTTACTAATTGGTCTTTTGACTAATCAGATCAGCTATTTTTCAAACAAATGGGCAAAATATCAAAATTGGGCTGCCTGTGTAAATGCAACCTTAGGGATATTGATTGATATGGATACTGGCACAGAGAAAAAGGTTGTCGTTTGAAGTTATGTTGTTTTTTAAGTTCAAATTGTGTCACGGTCTGTAGCGTTTTTAATCAGTGACCTTGTTATCCCAAAATGATCTAGGAGCCCACCAGGGAGTCCTAATCAACTGTTTCAGGGGGCACATGGCAATTTGGCTAACTGTAGGGGGAGGAGGGGGGGTAGGAGCTGCAGGTGTTACACATACAAAAGTTGATGAAGGGGGTGGGGGGTTTTGAAGCATGGGTGAGAACATGGAGGCTGCAGGAGTAAGTTAGTAGCTACCCTTGCGCAGGTTGACGAGGGGCTCCAGGACTCCCCTGCGGAAGGCAGCGATGGGGTCCTGGACACAGGAGCGCAGACTGAGCATGCTCTGTATATGATGTTCCTTTAGCAGTAGCTCCCTGTAGCCGCTGAGCTGTGGTGCTCTGGACAGCAGGGCGGCGACACTGTGGACAAACTCTGGGACCAGGCAGGTGTAGGTGTTGTCAGCCTGGCAGAAGTGGTAGGCCACCACCTGGAGAGAGAGAGAGAGAGAGAGAGAGAGAGAGAGAGAGAGAGAGAGAGAGAGAGAGAGAGAGAGAGAGAGAGAGAGAGAGAGAGAGAGAGAGAGAGAGAGAGAGAGAGAGAGAGAGAGAGAGAGAGAGAGAGAGAATTAGGCCAATAGAGAGAGAGAATTAGGCCAATATCTGCTAATTATCAAAATCCAGAAAAGAGCCGTTAAATTCTATAACCACTTAAAAGGAAGCGATTCCCAAACCTTCCATAACAAAGCCATCACCTACAGAGATATGAACTTGGAGAAGAGTCCCCTAAGTAAGCTTGTCCTGGGGCTCTGTTCACAAACACAAACAGACCCCACACAGCCCCAGGACAACAACAACAACAACACAACTAGACCCAACCAAATCATGAGAAAACAAAAAGAGAATTACTTGACACATTGGAAAGAACAAACAAAAAAACAGAGCAAACTAGAATGCTATTTGGCCCTAAACAGAGAGTACACAGTGGCAGAATACCTGACCACTGTGACTGACCCAAACTTAAGGAAAGCTTTGACTATTTACAGACTCAGTGAGCATAGCCTTGCTATTGAGAAAGGCCGCCGTAGGCAGACCTGGCTCTCAAGAGAAGACAGGCTATGTGCACACTGCCCACAAAATGAGGTGGAAACTGAGCTGCACTTCCTAACCTCCTGCCAAATGTATGACCATATTAGAGACACATATTTCCCTCAGATTACAGCGATCCACAAAGAATTCGAAAACAAACCCAATTTTGATAAACTCCCTTATCTACTGGGTGAAAAACCACAGTGTGCCATCACAGCTGCAAGATTTGTGACCTGTTGCCACAAGAAAAGGGCAACCAGTGAAGAACAAACACCATTGTAAATACAACCCATATTTATGTTTATTTATTTTCCCATTTGTACTTTAACTATTTGCACATTGTTACAACACTGTATATATACATACTATGACATTTGAAATGTCTTTATTCTTTTGAAACTTCTGAGTGTAATGTTTACTGTTAATATTTATTGTTTATTTCACTTTTGTTTACTATCTACTTCACTTGCTTTGGCAATGTTAACACACGTTTCCCATGGCAATAAAGCCCTTAAATTGAAATTGAAATTGAATTGAGAGAGAGAGAGAGAGAGAGAGAGAGAGAGAGAGAGAGAGAGAGAGAGAGAGAGAGAGGCCCCCCCTAACTGAGCACTTCAATAATGCTTTTTCAACCCGTTTTGAACGCAATGAGTGTCTTGAACTTTCCAGAGAAGTAAACCCTCAACCAACTTTGAATATCTCCATCTCACAAATCAGCATTTGTTTCTCTACATGAGGCTAAAGTGTCTGCGATGAGTTGCTAATTAACAGATTGGCTAATCAAGCAGCCATGACGGATCCACTTGACGCAACAGGGCAGAGATGTCAAGAGTAAACACACTCTTCCTAAGAAACAAAAACCGACAGGACTGCGGTCTTCGGAACTCGAGGGTCTGATGTGGAATCTGCAACCAAAAGGACATGATCAACTGCGGTAACCATAAAAGGTAATACTACTCACAGCAGTCATACTTTTTAATGATTCACCATATCAGTAATGAGATGAACATACAGCTAACAGAACCATCTTGTTAATTTAGTTGAGGATGGAGAAGTATCCATACACCCAGCGGTCATCTTTAATTCAGGAACTCATCAAAAGGGCAAAACCTCCACAAACAGATGGATGCCAAACACAGTCAGTCAGAAACCTCCTCCAGTTGCCTTGGAACCCAATTTGTCCAACTAAACCCTCCCTCTTAATACTACTAGGTGAAGCTGCAATTATCTCCATCTCTTCATCTCTGAGACCAATTATAGAGGAATTAGGAGGTGGTCTATTGGCAGTGATTCAAGAAACAAGACTACGAGACCATGGGGCTATAAAGTTCTATCTGCGCAAAGCAGAGTTCTGAGATATTGAGCATTAATGTTTTCACATCCCAGATCTCAGAAGTGTTTTGTAGTGAATTCTTCTTTCATAACCCATTAAGGTCCTCACCTTAAAGGTACCTAAAGTGCAGAGTTTCAAAATACTAAGACATTCGTAAATCAGTTTTTAGGGGGGTGCAATCACATATAGAACCTTATGGCTCTGAAATGTCAATCTGAAAGGTTCTATCTGGCACAGAATGTTACAATTATTTACATTTCAATAGAAAAGTACCGACATTGAATGATTAAGTTAAGAGAACAAACACCCTTCCTCCTTTCTAATCACATCATCAAATATATTAATTCATGTTCATCACACATTTGTTAAAGCGATAGTTCCTTAAAATGACAAATCCACTATATCCTATGGATAAGTAGCAACATTAGCTCTGGATGAGTAAAGTGACATATTTTTCGGGTCTCTGACACCCAAAGTCAGTAAACCACTTTGCTAGTTATCAATAACATGTGGTAAGTTTAATACTGTAGAATAAGACAAAAACAGCAATGCGTCTCCTAAGGGCCTTAAACATGCTTTAAGGTACCTGTATTTATTAGTTTTGTGTGTGTGTGTGTGTGTGTGTGTGTGTGTGGGGGGGGGGGGGGTGTGTGTGTGTATGTGTATGTGTGTGTGTGTGTATGTGTGTATGTGTGTGTGTGTGTATGTGTGTGTGTGTGGGGGGGGGGGGGGGGTGTGTGTGTGTGTGTGTGTGTGTGTGTGTGTGTGTGTGCGTTCAAGGGTGCGTGCAGACGTGTGTGTAGCTCATCGTACCTTGCTGGCCAGGCGTTTGACAGCCTCGTCTCTGTGTCTGTGTGCCTCTGGTGTCCCGGGGCAGGTTGTTTGGCTGGGCTGGGGGTCTGTGATAGGGGTGCTGGACTGGGGCGGCTGTTTGGAGGCTCCGTCTGTCCCCCTATCCCCACCTGCAAGACGGACACAGCAAGGTGACACGTGGACTGTCACTTCTTTTTCATGAGAAGTTCGAGGAGAATAACAATCATTCAATTAGATATTTTTTTGAAAACGTATCGCCCTATCAGGACCAGCACTCCTGACTAGAAAAAAATCATATTTTTCTTGTGCTGTGACTACGTGAGAGCATGTTAAAAGCATCATTGTGGGCTGGTTTCCATAATGGGTCCAAACATACCTCCAGTAAACAATGCTAATTCAATAAAGCCCTGAGTCACAATGGCAAATCACTTCAGTCTCCGTCAGGCATTTATCATAATGCATTATAACTAGGTCAAAGCAGATTCCTACTCTTAACCTAAATGATGTCATTACTTCATGTCATTACTGCCGTGCCGTATGGTGCACTGTATCAATTTGCTGGATGGGGACCGAGAAAATTATACGCAGTATGCATTCACGATCATTGATGGTGGGAGAAAAGTGCGGTACTGTACCTAGCTACTGACGTAGCAATGCTTGCGTTTGTGTAACATCAATCACCACACAATCAGTCATAGCTTTCAGGGACAGAGCTTTCAAAGGTTTTATTCCTGTGGCTCATCCGCTAGGACCAAAATATCTGATGAACCCTGATACTTGAGAGTGACGGCTCTGAAAAAGTATGACTGATCTCAAGGTAGACGGGTTGGCTTGCCTATTAGAAAATGGTTAAACTCATAATGAAAAATGTAAACGTTTAAATCACCCTTCGCTGAAGGGAACCCATTCGTCCTTCCCTTCTGGGGCACAGGGAACTGGCAGCTTCCTCAAAAAAGTGCTGTTGCATCTCAAGAGGTTCATCCTATTTATAATTTCAAACAAAGTACCTCCAGAGAAGGGAAGTTTGCCTCTTACTTTTGGGGGAGGTGCAGGGGCTCTGGGTGGGGACCTGTTGCATGTGGCCCCCATGACAGCTGAGAGCCACCAGTCGCGAGACGATGGCCGTCTTGCCGAAGCCCACATCGCCGACGATAACGGCCCCACGGCCCTCGCAGGTGTCACTCTTCCTTAGGACCTCCTCTAGCCGCTGGAACAGCCAATCACGGCCTTGGAAAGGTGCATCCGTGGAGACTGCGGGAACCTCAAACAACAACGGCTTCAGCATGATGTCGCCTGACTTGAAGGGAGCGAAGCGCGCTGGACAAAGAGAAAAGAGAGAACACGGGGGTTACTAACATGACTTTCTCTTCATTTTAAAGAGTATTGTGGTATCCAACAATAATATAGTTGTGTATTGTGTTGTAACACAATAATTGCATGCACGAAGGCAGGGTCTCAGTCAGGGTCTCAACTTACTGTTGAGCGTGTTATGATATGGGGTGAAGGTTAGTGTTAGGACATAATATCCAGGATACACTTCCACACTCCATCCCCCAGGTGGCAGTAACCGGGTCTAGATGCTGAGCTTTGATAAGCACATCAGGTGCTGCCAATAAGAGGATCGTCAGTCAGAGTGCCAGTTTGGAGAGCCGTGAGGCTGCTTGTTGGTTTGGTGGCCATGAGGCCTTTCATTTGGTTTTGAATCTTTAGCTTAGGCATGCCTGTTTGTAGTTTTCCTTTTTGTATATATTTGTTCCTGTCCCCATCTGAACATAATAATCCGCTTGGGCTTGTCGACCCAAAGGAGTCAACACTGAGCTAGCCCTGGACCTAAGGTAAGGTTCCTGTCTCCCTGGGCACGTGTATCCAACACGGTCCTCAAACGCTGATTTCTCACAAAAATGCACACATTCATTCAGGTTACAGACCATGCAACTAGGCCTAGGACCCCTAGACTTAGCGAGTGCAACAATATTAGCAGGCTAGTTAATCGGTTTCGTATCAAGCGTTAGTTAGAATAGTAGAATACACAAGGTGAAATTTCGAAATTTGGTTGTGCATCAGCAGTTTTCCTCTTGTTATGTCAGTCACTGACAGTCACTTAATTAGGCCATGTCAGCTAAACATTTGTAGATTGGTAAGGTAGTCTACCCAGCTATCTAAACCTGTAGTAATCATGACCGAATTACCGACCGGGTACGAAGGGCACGAAGGTCCCTGACCTCCAGTGGGCCCCCATTGATTTTATTAGTCACGCTCACTCAGATACACTATATATACATGGACACCCCTTCAAATTAGTAGATTCGGCTATTTCAGCCACACCCGTTGCTGACAGGTGTATAAAATCAAGCACACAGCCATGCAATCTCCATAGACAAACATTGGCAGTAGAATGGCCTTACCGAAGAGTTCAGTGAATTTCAACTTGGCACCGTCATAGGATGCCACCTTTCCAACAAGTCAGTTCATCAAATTTCTGCCCTGCTAGAGCTGCCCCGGTCAACTGTAAGTGCTGTTATTATGAAGTGGAAATGTCTAGGAGCAACAACGGCTCAGCCGCGAAGTGGTAGGCCACACAAGCTCACAGAACGGGGCCGCCGAGTGCTGAAGTGCATAGCGCATACAAATCGTCTGTCCTCGGTTGCAACACTCACTACCGAGTTCCAAACTGCCTCTGGAAGCAATGACAGCACAATAACTATTTGTCGGGAGCTTCATGAAATGGGTTTCCATGGCCGAGCAGCCACACACAAGCCCTAAGATCCCATGCGCAATGCCAAGCATCGGCTGGAGTGGTGTAAAGATCGCCGCTATTGGACTCTTGAGGAGTGGAAACGTGTTCTCTGGAGTGATGAATCACACTTCAGCATCTGGCAGTCCGATGGACGAATCTGGGTTTGGCGGATGCCAGGTGAACGCTACCTGACCGAATGCATAGTGCCAACTGTAAAGTTTGGTGGAGGAGGAATAATGGTCTGGGGCTGTTTTTCATGGTTTCGAGCTAGGCCCCTTAGTTCTAGTGAAGGCAAATGTTAACACTACAGCATACAATTCCATTCTAGACAATTATGTGCTTCCAACTTTGTGGCAACATTTTGGGGAAGGCCCTTTCCTGTTTCAGCATGACAATGCCCCCGTGCACAAAGCGAGGTCCAAACAGAAAGGTTTTGTCGAGATCGGTGTGGAAGAACTTGATTGGCCTGCACAGAGCCCTGACCTCAACCCCACTGAACACATTTACATTTTAGTCATTTAGCAAACGCTCTTATCCAGAGTGACTTACAGTTAGTGAGTGCATACATTTTCATACTGGTCCCCTGTGGGAATCGAACCCACAACCCTGGCGTTGCAAGCGCATGCTCTACCAACTGAGCTACACGGGACTACACCTTTGGAATGAATTGGAACGCCGACTGCGAGCCAGGCCTAATCGCCCAACCTCAGTGCCCAACCTCACTAATGCTCTTGTAACTGAATGGAAGCAAGTCACCACAGCAATGTTCAAACATCTAGTGGAAAGCCTTCCCAGAAGAGTGGAGGCTGTTATAGCAGCATTTTAATACCCATGATTTTGGAATGACAACGAGCAGGTGTCCACATACTTTTGGTCATGTAGTGTATCATATTAACACGGCATAAGTCATGGCAAAATGTGTAGAATTTTAGGAAATTGGCTGTAAAATTGCACATTTTTCAATCCGCCCCATGGCAAAACGAGTAGAATTGAATGAAATGAGTTATAAAATACCACATAATTTTCTCCGCACCATGGTAAAATGTGTAGAATTGCAGAAAATATAATTTAAAACTCCTCCGTCAAGAGGGGGGCCACTAAAAGGTTTTGCCTGTGAGGTGGGGAGGCTAGTGCCGGCCCTGCACACACACACACCTGCATAAATGCCTGCATGCACGCATACACACACACACAAATACAACAAACCCAACCCCCCCACACACACACAGAAACACAAACAGTACCATACCTTTGGTGTCCCTTCCCCCTGTGCTGTTCCAGGGCTGTTTGATGGAGCTTCGCTGGGGAGCACTCCGTTGATCATCCAGGTAGCTCAGATCCTCCAGCTTAGTGGAACTAGTGGCTGCAGGGGAAGACATGAGAGACAGAAGGAAGGAGAAGAGAAGTAGAGAAGTAGAAAATAAAGAATGAGGGAAAGCAGGAAAGAGAGCTTTTATAGAGAGTTGTTTCTTTCATTTTGCCTTCAAGGTAGAACATCTTAAACATTTGGGAATAAAATGAACAAAGCCCTTTTTGGCCAAACAGTGTAACTATGGAGCTCGGTCTCCATTTCAACATACTGTTCTCCAATCTCAAGCTAATGCCGGGCGGACACTACACGTTTTTAACCCGATCTATGGCCTCCCGATCAGCTCCCGGCACATTTTTCAAAATCGGAGGAAATCGGAGCAAACCCAGAGTAAAACGTAACGCTGCAGCCAGTAAATTGTAAGCACACATCCGATTTGAGGTTGATTGCTCTCATGGGCACTTAAGTGAGGTAGTTGAAGAGATCCTTTATAGTTCTAAGTAGCTGATTGTCTGACGGTGAGACATGCCTCAAATCGGCCATTATAGCCAAGCGTGAGCAGTGCTAAGAGCAGATGCGAGGCATGTCTCACCGTCAGCCAATCAGCTACTCAGAACTATAAAGGTTTCTTCAACTACCTCACAAGTTCATCACAATGGCACCAAAGTTATAACATAAACCCTCAATTCAAGCCCTGGTTTTAACTTAACACACCAAGCCCTTCACTGACACAGAGATATTTAAGTCTTAATTTAGTCTGTCAAACAGGTAGGCCTACCTCTTATTTCTTAAATAGGAAGAAATAGGTTTTCAACACAAAGCCCTCTTGTTTTTAGTAAAGTCGAATTAAAATGAAGACTTTAAATTAATTAGTTTTTCTCGAATTAGCCTACTTTCAGCACCCATGCGCTGTCCATCTCCGATTGATTGTGCCGCGGCTGCCGCTTCAATGTAATGTAATGTAAATTATGTAAGTTATGAAAGTTACTCGAATCTAGCTTATTGTGAAGTCAATAACTCTGATAAATACAGTAGCTTAATCAGCTTAATCATGGGCAACGGAAACATTTTGTTTTTCATTAAATCAATTATAGCAGTAGCAAGCTATCAAAGTTGACCTCCGGTCCTCCTCATCTTCGCGCTCTCCCTCACATCAGTAGTCCGCACGCACAGATGCTGTGCTCCTTGTATGTGCATTATGGTTCCTCGGTTGCCATGTTGATTTCCTTACTAGCTCTACACATACGCAAACCTGACCACCAAATGGCCCGATTTTTTTTTACTGGCCATGGAGGTGTTGCCAAGTGTATGTACTATACCGATTACTAGGTCATTTACTTAGCAAGTTTACTTTTGAGTGTGCATGAGCTTGAGGTGATGCTTGTGTGTGTGTGTGTGTGTGTGTGTGTGTGTGTGTGTGTGTGCATCCCACAATCGTGGCTATAGGGTGGTGTTATTAGGGAGGATGGAATCTTAAGCTATAACATAAAATAATATCTGTTTTGCTAAATGTCGATTTTCTACTGCCGGTTGCTTTGTCAAAGGTAGCTATCGTTTTGGAGGAAGTGCCTACATTATTACGCATACTATCCGTCTAATGTGAAAGGAATTAAGGTATTCTGAAAAAAATGAACACAAACACAAAAGTGATATAGTACAACTGAGGCAAAGGGTTAGAACTGCTTAGTGCTGCTAAACTGGTTGTAAGTGGCACTTTGTGCTCTTTTCAAGGGACCGGTCCAAACTGCTTAGGGGTCCTAGGATCCATGTGTACGGGGGTGGTCTGCCAGTCACAGGGACGACATCCCTACCTGGGATGGGGGGAGTTATTTTCGGGAGGGAAATTGGAGGACAACTGGAGGTCTACTTAGTCTGTTGGAGCTACAGTATGTTTAGCAGTGCATCTATCATGGTACAGCTACGTGGATAATGGACAGGTATTGATTCTGGTGGTACTGGTAAGTATGGATAAATACATGTATTTCAAAAAAGTGGTAAGGATAGTGATAAGTATCTCATAATGTAACCCATCATGGTAATTGATTAATTGAATTACAGCTAACTATATTTCTAATGGTTTGGCTGATAATAGGAAAATAAGAGCAGTTCTCACATGGCTAAAGGAGAAGAATTACCATTTTTATTGTTTACAGGAAACTCATTCAATATCTTCTGATGAAGTGGCCTGGGATAAAAGAGTGGTATGGTCAAATCTATTTCTGTCATGGGCTAAGGAATTCAAAAGGTGTTATGATCCTACTGAAAAACAATCTAGATCTTGAGGTGCAAGCCGTTAAAATGGATCCTCAAGGAAGATGGATTGCTTTGAATATACCACTTGATGATAAACAGATGTGGCTCATAAATCTATATGGACCGAATAATGACGATCCAAACTTTTTTGAGAAAATGTATAATAATCTAATTAGTCTCCAAGATACAAATAATTATATTATAATGTTAGGGGACTACAATACAGTTTTATGTACATCAATACACCGTAAAGGCAATCATACTACCAACTATCACCCTCTGGCACGCAAAGAGATCACAAATATTATGGACGTTGGAATTGACTGATATTTGGAAGCTTAAAAACCCTGACCTTGTAAAATATACTTGGAGGAGGCTTAATCAAGCTAGCCGGATTGATTATTTTCTGGTATCCTTTTCTATGGAGCCCAAAGTGAATAAAATATTGATTGAGGATCGAATGCGATCAGACCATCAACTTATATCCCTCCAGGTAATTATGACAGACTTTCCACGAGGACAGGGATATTGGAAATTGAACCAGGGTTTATTGACAGATAGTACTTTCTTAACAAAAATGAAGGAATTCATAACAGATTTCTTCAGGCACAATACATGTTCAGCGGACCCACTTATCGTATGCCTTTAAATGTGCTTTTATTTTTGTAAAAATTAGCCCCCTTTTGTGGTATCCAATTGGTAGTTACAGTCTTGTCCCATCGCTACAACTCCCGTACAGACATGGGAGAGGCGAAGGTCGAGAGTCGTGCGTCCTCCGAAACACGACCCAACCTAGCCGCACTGCTTCTTGACACGGTGCCCGCTTAACCCGGAAGCCAGCCGCACCAATGTGCCGGAGGAAACGCTGTACACCTGGCGACTGAGTCAGCATGCACTGCGCCCGACCCGCCACATTTGTCGCTAGTGCGCGATGGGACAAGGACATCCCTGCCAGCCAAACCCTCCCCTACCCTGGGCGGCGCTGGGCCAATTGTGCGCCACCTCATGGGTCTCCTGGTCGCGGCCGGCTGTTACAGAGCCTGGAATCGAACCAGGATCTCTAGTGGCACAGCTAGCACTGCGATGCAGTACCTTAGACATTTTTTTATTTTTTGTCATTTAGGAGACGCTCTTATCTAGAGCGACTTACAGTTAGTGAGTGCATACATTTTCATACTGGCCCCCCGTGGGAAACAAACCCACAACTTTGGCGTTGCAAGCGCCATGCTCTACCAACTGAGCTACAGGGGACCACTGCGCCACTCGGGAGGCCCTAAATGTTTAGAGGCCACTCAATTCAGTTTTCAGCCCCAAAACTAAAATGGTTTGGGTCAGTGGAGACACAACTTACATCAGAAATAGAAAAACTTACATTACACATCAATGATGATGATAAATGTACTACTGAAGCACTGAATAATCTAGATGCAAAACAAAAGGAGAAACTTATTTAGGAAAGATCGGGCTTCATTTATTTAAAAAAAACCTGAGCAAATTGGATGGAGAACAGAGAAAGTTTTTCTTAAACCTTCAACATAGAAACACAACCAAAAATAACCTACAGAAAATAGTTACAAACAATGGAGAAATCCTTATCTCACCAAAGGAGATTTTTAAATGAAGAAGTAAAATATTTTAAACAAATGTTCTTGTCAAGTTCTTCCAAACTCAATTGACGATGAGTTTTGTGAAATCCTTGTCCCAAAAAATAATGTTAAACTATCTGTGACACGTAAAAACTCTTATGATGGCCTAATTACACAGGACGAACTACGGTTGGCGATTGATTCCTTTCAGACGGGGAAAACCCCTGGCCTCGATGGCATTCCAATAGAGATATATCAAACTTTTTATGAACTACTGAAAGATCCATTACTATCATTTTTGTATTACTTGTATATACTGTAAATGGCAAACTATCGGACACACAAAAAGAGGGACTGATCTCTCTCCTACTGAAGCAGGAGCCAGGGGGCAGTACAAAGACCCAGTATCTCAGTCCCTTCAATGTTGCGATGCAAAAATATTGGCCAAATGTAATGCTCATAGAATTAAAAAGGCCCTACCGGACATTATTCATCACAATCAGACGGGATTCTTAAAAGGAAGATATATAGGAGATAACATTAGACAACTACTAGAAATTATTGAAAACTATGAGAATACAGGGAAACCAGGTATAATCTTTATAGCAGATTTTAAGAAAGCCTTCGATACAGTACATCTAGAATCAGTGTATAAGTGCCTAGATTTCTTTCAACTTTCGAGAATCTCTCATAAGATCGGTAAACATCATGTACAACAACCCTTTATGTAAAATATAAATAATGGTTACTTCTCTGAAAATGCTGAGCTGTCAAGAGTTGTAAAACAAGGTTGCCCTCTATCACCATACCTGTTTATTGTTATCAATCCAATGATAACATTAAGGGGCTAAAAATGAATGGTTTAGAGACAAAAGTATCAATGATGATTGATTCAAGTACCTTATTGAGGACCTGGATAATTTCTCCAGTTTCTCTGGCCTAAAACCCAACTATGACAAGTGAACATTTCCCGGAAAAGTCAAACGATCTTGCAACTATTAACTTTGATAGAAAATAGATAGGATCTTGAAACCGTGGCAAGGGAAACACCTGTCCATCTACGGGAAAATTACTCTTGATTAATTCCCTATTGATATTGCAGTTTACGTATCTATTCATGGCTCTATCGACTCCAGGAGAATAAAAGCTGACTCGTGAGAAAAAAATAATAATTTAGTCCTTAATGGCAAACCAGACCAAGTTAAACAGGCATATTTATATAACGAACATAAGTCTGGAGGGTTAAAACTATTAAATATTAAGAAATTAAACCTCTCACTTAAAACCTCCATTATACCGAAATGATATCTAAATCCAAACTGGTTTTCCAGCAGGCTACTAAGAGAAGCACACCCAATGTTCAAAAGGGGTCTCTTTGCCGTTATGCAGATTAAAACCAACCTTTTCCGGTGGATTGACAATGTAAACCTGTTTAAAGCATCATCCTTTCTAAATGAAGCCTTACAGAGTTGGCTACAATTCCAATTTCATCCTCCAGAAGAGGCTGAACAAATATTACAGCAAATAGTATGGCTAAACTACAATGTAGTGATAGAGGAAAGAACAATTCTATTGGAAAAAAATTATAAGAAAGGTGTCATGTTTATGAATGACAAAGTAAGGACAGTTAAAATTTGCTAAATAAGCTAAACAGCGCCGGAGAAGATGGCTGCCGTTTTACAGCCCTCTAACCAATTGTACTATTATGTGTGTTTTTCCGCGTTATTTGTAATTTATTTTGTACATAGTGTTTCTGCCATCGTCTCTTATAACCAAAAAGAGTTTCTTGATATCAGGACAGCGATTACTCACCTCGTATTGGACGAAGATTTTTTCTTCAACGAGGCGGCTGCGAAGGATATTATACAGACACCCGACAAGGCCCAAATCACCGTCATTCGCGTGAGGAAGAGACTGAGATATCGTGGACGTAGATCGGGGTGCCTTGTAAGGATCCGACGGCGAGCGAGTGAACTGCCTCTTCCATCAATCCTATTAGCCAATCTTCAATCATTGGAGAACAAATTGGATGACCTAAGATTACGGTTATCCTACCAACGGGACATTAAAAACTGTAATATCTTATGTTTCACCGAGTCGTGGCTGAACGACGACATGGATAACATACAGCTAGCGGGCTATACGCTACATCGGCAGGATAGAACGGCTGACTCCGGTAAGACAAGGGGTGGCGGTCTGTGTATATTTGTAAACAACAGCTGGTGCACAAAATCAAATACTAAGGAAGTCTCGAGGTTTTGCTCGCCTGAGGTAGAGTATCTTATGATAAGCTGTAGACCACACTATTTACCAAGAGAATTTTCATCTATATTTTTCATAGCTGTCTACTTACCACCACAAACCAGTGCTGGCATTAAGATTGCACTGAATGAGTTGTACAAGGCCATAAATCAACAGGAAAATGCTCATCCAGAGGCAGCGCGCCTAGTGGCCGGGGACTTTAATGCAGGGAAACTTAAATCCGTTCTACCTAATTTCTACCAGCATGTTAAATGTGCAACCAGAGGAAAAAAAACTCTAGACCATAACTCTATCCTCCTGATTCCTGCTTATAAGCAAAAACTAAAGCAGGAAGCACCAGTGACTCGGTTAATAAAAAAGTGGTCAGATGACACAGATGCTAAGCTACAGGACTGTTTTGCTAGCACAGACTGGAACATGTTCCGGGATTCTTCAGACAGCATTGAGGAGTACACCACATCAGTCACTGGCTTCATCAATAAGTGCATCGATGATGTCGTCCCCACAGTGACCGTACGTACATACCCCAACCAGAAGCCATGGATTACAGGAAACATCCGCACTGAGCTAAAGGGTAGAGCTGCCGCTTTCAAGGAACGGGACTCTAACCCGGACGCTTATAAGAAATCCCGCTATGCCCTCCGACGAACCATCAAACAGGCAAAGAGTCAATACAGGACTAAGATTGAATCGTACTACACTGGCTCTGACGCTCGTCGGATGTGGCAGGGCTTGAAAACTATTAGAGACTACAAAGGGAAGCACAGCCGCGAGCTGCCCAGTGACACAAGCCTACCAGACGAGCTAAACCACTTCTATGCTCGCTTCGAGGCAAGCAACACTGAAGCATGCATGAGAGCACCAGCTGTTCCGGATGACTATGTGATCACGCTCTCTGTAGCCAATGTGAGTAAGACTTTTAAGCAGGTCAACATTCACAAGGCCAGACGGATTACCAGGACGTGTACTCCGAGCATGTGCTGACCAACTGGCAAGTGTCTTCACTGACATTTTCAACATGTCCCTGACTGAGTCTGTAATACCAACATGTTTCAAGCAGACCACCATAGTCCCCGTGCACAAGGACTCTAAGATAACCTGCCTAAATGACTACCGACCCATAGCACTGACGTCTGTAGCCATGAAGTGCTTTGAAAGGCTGGTCATGGCTCACATCAACAGCATTATCCCAGAAACCCTAGACCCACTAAATTTGCATACCGCCCCAACAGATCCACAGTGCAATCTCTATTGCACTCCACACTGCCCTTTCCCACCTGGACAAGAGGAACACCTACGTGAGAATGCTATTCATTGACTACAGCTCAGCATTCAACACCATAGTGCCCTCTAAGCTCATCACTAAGCTAAGGATCCTGGGACTAAACACCTCCCTCTGCAACTGGATCCTGGACTTCCTGACGGGCCGCCCCCAGGTGGTAAGGGTAGGTAACAACACATCTGCCACACTGATCCTCAACACGGGGGCCCCTCAGGGGTGCGTGCTCAGTCCCCTCCTGTAGTCTCTGTTCACCCATGACTGCGTGGCCAGGCACGACTCCAACACCATCATTAAGTTTGCCGACGACACAACAGTGGTAGGCCTGATCACCGACAACGATGAGACGGCCTATAGGGAGGAGGTCAGAGACCTGGCCGTGTGGTACCAGGACAACAACCTCTCCCTCAACGTGACCAAGACAAAGGAGATGATTGTGGACTACAGGGAAAAAAAGAGGACTGAGCACGCCCCCATTCTCATCGACGGGGCTGTAGTGGAACAGGTTGAGAGCTTCAAGTTCCTTGGTGTCCACATCACCAACGAACTATCATGGTCCAAACACACCAAGACAGTCGTGAAGAGGGCACGACAAAGCCTATTCCCCCTCAGGAGACTGAAAAGATTTGGCATGGGTCCTCAGATCCTCAAAAAATTATACAGCTACACCATCGAGAGCATCCTGACTGGTTGCATCACCGCCTGGTATGGCAACTGCTTGGCCTCCGACCGCAAGGCACTACAGAGAGTAGTGCGTACGGCCCAGTACATCACTGGGGCCAAGCTTCCTGCCATCCAGGACCTCTATACCAGGCGGTGTCAGAGGAAGGCCCTCAAAATTGTCAAAGACTCCAGCCACCCTAGTCATAGACTGTTCTCTCTGCTACCGCACGGCAAGCGGTACCGGAGTGCCAAGTCTAGGTCCAAAAGACTTCTCAACAGCTTCTACCCCCAAGCCATAAGACTCCTGAACAGCTAATCATGGCTACCTGGACTATTTGCACTGCTCCCCCACCCCATCCTTTTTACGCTGCTGCTACTCTGTTAATTATTTATGCATAGTCACTTTAACTCTACCCACATGTACATGTTACTTCAACTACCTCAACTAGCCGGTGCCCCCGCACATTGACTCTGCACCGGTACCCCCCTGTATATATAGCCTCCCTACTGTTATTTTATTTTACTTCTGCTCTTTTTTTTCTCAACACTTTTTTTGTTGTTGTTTTATTTTTGTTAAAAATAAATGCACTGTTGGTTAAGGGCTGTAAGTAAGCATTTCACTGTAATGTCTGCACCTGTTGTATTCGGCGCATGTGACCAATACAATTTGATTTGATTTGATTTGAAAATTTGTCACACAAGCAATTAACAAAGGTGTATGGAGATGTATGCTCAATACAAAAGTTTAACCAACTCATCGCAGCTCTGCCACAAAAATGCAAGGGGCAATTACTCAAAAGAGAAAGGAATGAATTAGTTTGTCTGCCGCCAATCAAAAACCATGCATGGCTTAAAATCACTAGTATAAATCATATCACTTTCACTTAAAAGTCGAGAGGTTTGACAACTATACTGCATCAAATTCAAGATCATTGGGAAGAGATTTTTGATGTCCCAATAACATGGCATCGGGTTTATGAACTGATATACAAAACAACATTCGACGCATCAATCTGTTCTTTTCAATTTAAACTATTATATAACATTTTCGCCACAAAAATGATGCTCAATATATGGGGCATTGAACAGTCAGCCCTGTGCAGACTGCAACGAAGAAACAAAATCAATAGATTATCTATTTTGGTACTGTCCATCTGCGGCTCGCTTTTGGAGTCAGGTCCAGGAGTGGTTGTTGTTGTCATAATGTCTGTTTTCAGATGGACCCACAAACAGTACTGTTAGGAGATCTGAAAAACCACGATCAATCAATGGGAAATATGATTATACTCTTAGTTAAAGTATTTATTTTTAGGACAATATCGGTAGAAATTGTACAAATAGAGAGGTTCAAGACCCTCATAAGACATCACAGTAAAATACAAGGATGTATTGCAGAAGGAAATAGTAAAATGGTAATATACTGGGAAAGATGGGCTAGTCTGTTGACATCTGAGGGTTGGAATTAAGATTAGAGGGATTGGTTGACTTGACGATGCACTTGGAGTCCAGTACAAATGAGAGGAGGCTATATGTATATACAGTATATATAATTTTTAGGTTTTCCACCAGGTCCTCCAACCAGGGGAGAGGGCAAAAAAAAAATATTTTAAAAAGCGGAACAGAAATAATGCATAGGTCAACAGCATACCAAAAATATCCCCCTGGGCAGTGATTGGGGACATTTCCCTGTGTAAGGTGCCGTCTTTCGGCTGGGACGTTAAACAGGTGTCCTGACTCTCTGTGGTCACTAAAGATCCCATGGCACTTATCATAAGAGTAGGGGGTGCTAACCCCGGCGTCCTGTAGTGTATTTCAGCCTTAAGGGAGAGCGATTCAAGACTATTTTCCTTGAGTAAAATGGGAAACAATTCGGTCGTAGTTCTTCCCTTATGCTGCCTATGTTTTGTGACGTCAAATATTCTGGAGAAAGACACTCAAGGATAAAACACAAAGACACACACAGAGAGCCAGCTGCAGCACACACTCACTTTCTCTGCCTCTCTCTCTTTCTCTCTCATTTGCTCACTCTTCAACAACTCAGTAAAATGGGTGTTTACCACTGGGATATTAACAGCTCACTACAGGTCAGGAACATAGCCAGGTCCAGAGACCAGCTCCAATTACCCCTGTTCTGTAGCAGAATGTTGTGTTTGTAAGGACCAGCCCGTTTAACATGTTCACCAACATGAGACATTCACACTGGTCCATGTATGCTCTGTAGAACATGATGTCTTCCATCCTAATTCACTAGTTCTCTCTGCTCTGCTCCACCAGGCCTAGTTCTCTCTACTCTGCTCCACCAGGCCTAGTTCTCTCTGCTCTGCTCCACCAGGCCTAGTTCTCTCTACTCTGCTCCACCAGGCCTAGTTCTCTCTACTCTGCTCCACCAGGCCTAGTTCTCTCTGCTCTGCTCCACCAGGCCTAGTTCTCTCTGCTATGAGTGAGTGAGAGGAGATCCAATAGAAGTGGCTTATGAATTCAAGCCTGGCAGAAGCAGCTAACTAGATTACAGTAATTTCCTATGGGAAACGATCTGCTTGTAGGGGTCTGGATGTGATATAGCAGTACAGTAATATCTGGATAGGGAGGCTGTAGATAGATGTATACAGATGTTCTGTCTGTGTGTGTGTGTGTGCACATAAGTGTGTGCATGTGCGTTCAATGAATCTGCAGTAACTGTGGTATAGTAGCTAGGACCAGAGCTAGATGGGCTTGAGGCTTATAGGGGCATGGTGGAGTTCAAGTTAATCACCGTATTTGTAGTAAAGCTGTGATTGAAGCATCTCAAAGGTATTTAATACCGCCTTTTGTTCCGCGTGGCAAGGCAAAGAACTATGGCTGTCATGATCAAGCCATACTACGAACTCAGCGGCCGTCCACTCGCCTCTCTCTCTCTCTCTCTCTCTCTCTCTCTCTCTCTCTCTCCTCTCTCCTCTCTCTCCTCTCTCTCCTCTCTCTGTCTCTTTCCTTCTCTCTCTCTCTCTCTCTCTCTCTCTCTCATTCATTCATTCATTCATTCATTCATTCATTCCAGACTGATCTCTACACCTTATACAGTATATCAATCCTTAGTGCGCGGCCTAGCCTCCTGTACTACAGTGTAATCTGCCATTACAAGAGACCTTTAATCCCCTGAGAGTGGAATCACACGGGGAATGTCACGTTGCTCTGCTCTGTGACACGTACTGCACAGCTCACAGGACAGGCGTGGAAGTTGACCAGGGAATTACCCGTATGGCCGCTAAACTTCACCTCACCCACTGGAACACCATGTTACAACCCCTACATCACCCCCATCATGTCCAATCTAGTGGTGAGTCACACCTGGATCTTGGAGAATGTGGTTGGAGGCTGGGCCAGGCTATTGTTCATCGTTAGAACCATTGAGCTGAGAGATACAGAGATACACTACAATTTTCCACAATCTTCCACCTCGAATACATGTTGGTTGGTATAATAATAATCTTAGAGCACTATGACCAAAGTTATAGTGGCAGTTGAATGGCAAGTGCTTTCTGGAGGTGGAGAGGGTCTGCTCTCTTTCAATGGCACCACAGGAATACTGACATTCTATTCATACACAGTGCCACTTAACTCTCAAGCTATACTGAAATCAGCAGGCATACGTGGGACTAACACAACATCTATCCTTGGACCATAACAGCACAGTAACATGGGCTTTGAAAGAAACCAAACATGTCCTGTGTTACTCCCATCTCTCTTTTTCCCATCACAACCTCAAAGTGAGGTCTATTTAAACAAATAATACTATGCATGCTCATTTCAAGTTATTAAAGTTATTCTCGAGCAGCATCCCCAACAACAGTAGAAGAGTCTGTCAGGCATTTCACTGGATCCACTCCCTGGAGAGACCGTTTCCCCCGCTCTCCAAATGGAGTGACATCTAACGAAGGAAAAGTTGTCTCTTGTTCTCTCAAACACAGAGGAGAAACAGATGTAGGATAACAACGTAAATCCTCTTGGAATACTGTAGCTGGTAGCTTTCACCGTCTTCATCCTCCAGTGGTTTAATCCTGTATCCGTCCTCATCTAATGATAGAAACTAGACAGAAAGCAGCTCTGTCTAATGGCTCTCCCACATCACAGAAACCACATGGTCAGAAAAGCTACAGCTGCAGCTGTTTTAGCTACACAAATGAATGGAGGAAAGAGAGCTTTACCACAAAACCGATTGGTTCTAGACACCTGGTCAAGGTAGAGCTGTTCACTTGTCCTTCATGGCTTCCTTTCCTCATCTCCTTTCCTCATCTCCTTTCCCTCATCACCACTAAAAGGTAAAAGGACTGGATAGATCTCCAACATACTGCTTTCATCTATCATGCACTGCTAGGCCAGTAATCATAGTGGAAAGGACACAAGGAAATGAGACTAGCTGAGACTATTGAGACACCACCAGTCAGAGGCATGAGATGGTCACTCACCTGCCACAGAGTTAGGGCGAGGCATCACCAGAGAAGAAGTGCTGTGTGTGTGGCGTTGTGGGAGGGGCCTCTTGGCTGGGGGTGGAGTTTTGGGTTCCCCTTCGATGGTGATTTCAGACCTGGGCGGGGCCTCGCTGGGCCCTGGCAGGTCGTCCTTGGCGACAGGAGGGCAGGAGTCGCCTCGGTGCCCGCCCTGCCCAGCGCCCCTCCAGCTGCCGTCTTTGCTCAGATCCAGCGTGGAGCCACCGCGATCCTCATTCTCAGAAGAGCTGGTGATGGTAGCTGATGCACAGAGGGAGTAGACAGGGGTAAGGTGAATACAAACAACAAAACCTAACTGTTGACTAAGTGCCTTTGGGATGAGATCAAGTTAGGATTAGTTGTCATTTAGGATGAGATCAAACTCTGCTTCAGTTCACTTTAGTTTTCCAGTCTGGTACGTTATTGGCAGTGACACTGTCCTGAGTTAAAGAGTAAGAGGCAGATCATCAATCACATCAACAGGGGAGAGTCATCAGTCACACATCGACATCATCACAATCAAATGCTTGTACTGTGCACCCCTTGCCCTTTTGTATTTACCTATAAATAAAAGCTCTATTTAGGGAGAAATGTGTCCTATTTTAGAAAGTCCAGACCCATACGCAGCAAAGACAGCAACGTCCCAGTTTTGTCAAGAGGGAACTGAAGCCTCGAGACTAAAGCGGCACAGGCAAGAAGAGAGAGAGAGTTGGGGTGGGAGATAGAAAGCCTTGACTGAGAACTCAAAGCAAGGTGAAACAATTATCATCAATCTCTATTTCTTCAGTCAGTGCTGAGGCCCTTATCTTAGTCAGGATTATTGACAATGTGAGCAATGAGATATATTATTGAGATATATTGATGACCAATGGAAGGATCAGATGGTGTTTTTTTCCTCCCATATAGATCTCTCAATCGTGTGCACTTATCCATTATTTCTCAGGAGGTGAGAAGAAAATATCTGAATTTAAATGGATCCAACTATGGGCCCCGTGTAGCTCAGTTGGTAGAGCATGGCGCTTGCAACGCCAGGGTTGTGGGTTCAATTCCCACGGGGGCCAGTATGAAAAAATAAAATATATATATATATATATGCACTCACTAACTGTAAGTTGCTCTGGATAAGAGTGTCTGCTAAAATGTGATGATGGTGTATATAAGCCACTCACCTATGATTCCACTATCCTGGCTCTCCAGTGTGGAGCTGGGGCTCTGGCAGGGACTGGGGCTGAGGAGGGTCCCACCTGGGCTGGGATTGGGGAGACAGGGGGGTGGCCCCCCGGTACTGCTACTACCCAGGGTGGAGCAGGGGCTGTCTGAGCATGGAGACGTAGTGCTGCAGGTCAATGTGGAGCACGGGCTCACCGCCTGGCCAGACACATTACACTAGTGGGAGAGAGAAAGAGGAGAGGGGGGAGTAGGAGATATCAGTCAGGTAGAAAGGGAGGAGAGATGGATAGAAAGGTTGGCAAGAGAAGAGAGAAAGAGTGCAGAGAAAAGAGAGACAGAGGTGTTTTATTTAAAGCTCTATCTATGGACAAGTATTATCAGAGGTATAGACCCTGTTGGCCCCCTTTCCAGCTGTCCCCAGGTTAATGCATGATATTTAGGTCATTGTATATAAGTGTGTGTGTGTGTGTGTGTGTGTGTGTGTGTGTGTGTGTGTGTGTGTGAGTCAATGTCCCCCTCCTCCTCCCAATGTCCCCAAACCCCAATATCTGCATCCTTCTTCATATGTCTCCAACATATGTATCCAACATATGTCTCCAACAACGCCCTAACCCTACATTTCCTAGATCCTATATGTCTCCACTCACCCCAGCAACCAGCGTTTCTGACGAAAAGACGAATCAGCTCAGTGCTACTCCCACCTTACCACCCCATCATTTATCTTAACCAGGACACGGTACACTGCTCACAGCCGACACGTTGTCTCCCTAAAACTGGCTATATCTGGAGCTCAGGTGGAGGAAGGAGGTTAGGAAAGTGGGGCAACGCTCTAATGGTGGTAGAATGATACAGCACAGTGTATAAACCTCCTGCAGGCTCAACAGCATATGTCGAGCCAATGCATCAAGATTAAAAGATATTCAACTCACATCACCTTACATACACATTCCATAAAGAAAATGCCATTACAGTATATGCTTTCAAATATTAACTCAAGAGTGCCTCGGATTTAGTTTTTCAACTGGTAATTTGCCCTCAAAGTTGTAGTTTCTAAAATTGCAGCTTCTAAACAAAAACAAACTCTCAATCTTGATTATCATACAGAGCATTGCCTTTAAATCTAATTAAAGAAACCATACAAAAATTCCTCACTTCAACCATCTGCAAAAAACAACATTTTCACATTCACATCTGAAAAGAAAACATATGAGCCTCCTTTCCATATTTCTGACATCTGACTTTCTCAGTCACTCTCACTCCTTCCTTCTACCCATCCTTCCCACCATCTTTCATTTCACATACCTTCTTTTCCCTCCGGTCCTCCATGGGGTTGCTAGGCGAGGCTGGGGTCCCTTCTCCCAGTAAGAAGCCCAGCCTGGTCATCAGTTCCTGGGTTGAGAAGGAGGAGGAGGAGCTGGGCTGGAGCTCCGCGTGCAGCTCTGGAGGACAGATGGAGAGAGATGACAGACGAGCGGATCTCTGTGAGCAGCACGACACAACCACACCAAACACACACACCGTTCTGTAGCCCAGCCCAGTTCAGCTCAGTCCAGCTCAGTTCCTCCCTCCTGCCTTTCCTCCTACCTGGCTATGTCGATTGGATGGAGGATAATGTATACTATGCCAAATGGAGGAGAGGTTAATGTATGCATCCACAGGTCAGCAGCAGCAGCAGCAGCGCTGGTCGGCCTCATTACCGATGAAGAGGCTGTGGCTTTCTCAGTCCCTGGCTGCACGACTGAGGCAGCTCTGTGTGTGTGTGTGTGTGTGCATATGTGTGTGTGTGTGTGTGTGCATATGTGTATGTGTGTGTGCCTGCTCAGCGCTCCCGGTTGGTTAGGAGACAGGCGTAGAATCTCAATGAGCTCAGCTCAGCCCTGGTCTCCAGCAGAGGGTAGGCGCCTTTGCACCGCCTCCACTGCTGTCTCTGGCACTGGCTGCCCCGCCCGGACAGATTGGCTGAGATGAGCAATATGGTGCGTCGATACATCACTGAGACGGGCCTGATGCCATGACCTTTCACCTCTAGGTCATCTACACCACTGTACAGATGCAGAGGAGGATGAGGAGAGGGTGTTCAATACGGCACCTCTATATCCTGTTTACATACAACAGTGAGTTGGAAAATATGATGATGTCTAGGAAACAGAGCTACTATTGGGAGAGATAAGGAGGAAGGGAAGGAATGTGGGAGGGCAGATACACAGCTTGTTAGTTGTTAGGTACTCACAACCCTTCTGGGGTTAGACACCTTCTCATCCATCTTTCCCCTCAATCCCTCTTGGAAAAAAGGGTTCAAAAAGGTGAACCCTTTTTTGTTCCAGGTAGAACCCTTTTTGGTTTCAGCTAGAACTCTTTTGGGTTCCATGTAGTTTTTACATGGAACCCAAAGTGGTTCTACCTGGAACCATAAACGGTTCTTCAAAGGGTTCTCCTATGGGGACAGCCGAAGAACCGTTTTAGGTTCTAGATAGCACCTTTTTTTAAAGAGTGTATCCCTCCATCAATTCATCCTCTCCATCCCTCTCCCCCTCTCTCAAGCCCTCAGGATCGCCCCATTCTTTCCTTCTCACTGTCGATATCCTCACCCCGCCTCCACATAATCCATTGTTCTCTTATATGAACCATAGAAATGATGCAATACATAGTAAGCAAATAAGAGGAAACAGTCACCACCACCTCACTATTGCATATCTCTCCTCTCTTCTCCCCCTAAAGTCCACAACTTCCTCCATCTCTCAGACAAGGGGTGATGATGAAACAAGCTGACTGGTTTTAGATGAAAGGCAGGCACCAGCACCTTTCCTACACAGCAGAGATCACATGCAGAGCTGTTAATCACAGACAGTGAGAGAGACAGAAGGATAAACAGACGCTTGGTGGCACACAGGGCTGGACTGTCCTGCAAGAGATCTGACTCTGACTGGAGCTCCTGTACGTTCAGATAACCAGAGAAGAGTTCAATGTTTGATTCAAGGGTGTACATTACAAATGGGAAAGAAAAAGAGACTGTCAATGCCAGGATAGTTGGGTGCCATCTTGGATAGAAATCAAAACAGGATATGACCTGAACTAAACGAATCCTGTAATGTCACCCTCCATTATCCAGCTTAATGGAAGTAAAGTAGCAAACCAACCATGGTCACAGCAACTGTCACATAGCCCCCTTGTACATTAGCACTCTGATACATATTCTCTTTCTGTGAAAAACATGCACACTGGGTTGTGCTATAGACTGGGAGCTGGAGCACACTTGGTTCTGTCTGGAAGAAGGTTGTTCAATCAAATCTTAGCACGCTTCAACCCACTGGGCACAGACGTCAATTCAACGTCTATTTTTGATTTACATTTGGTTGAGTTGTCAACTAACGTGAATTCAATGTGAAATCAACATAAAAAGTCACCATGACATCAAATCAAATTGTATTTGTCACATGTGCTGAATACAACAGGTGTAGACCTTACTGTGAAATGCTTACTTACAAGCCCTTAACCAACAATGCAGTTCAAGAAAGAGTTAAGAAAATGTTTACTTAATAAACTAAGGTAAAAAATAATAAAAAGTAACACAATAAAATAACAATAACGAGGCTATATCCAGGGGGTATCGGTACCGAGTCAATGTTCGGGGGTACAGGTTAGTCGAGGTAATTTGTACATGTAGGTAGGGGTAAAGTAACTATGCATAGATAATAAACAGCCAGTAGCAGCAGTGTAAAAACAAAGGGGGGGGGGGGGGGGGGGGGGTCAATGTAAATAGTCCGGGTGGCCATTTGATTAATTGTTCAGCAGTCTTATGGTTTGGGGGTAGAAGCTGTTAAGGAGCCTTTTGGACCTTGACTTGGCGCTATGGTACCGCTTGCCGTACGGTAGCAGCGAGAAAAGTCTATGACTTGGGTGACTGGAGTCTTTGACAATTTTTTGGGCCTTCCTCTGACACCGCCTAGTATATAGGTCCTGGATGGCAGGACGCTTGGCCCCAGTGATGTACTGGGCTGTACGCACTACCCTCTGTAGCGCCTTACGGTCAGATGCCGAGCAGTTGCCACACCAGGCGGTGATGCAACCGGTCAGGATGCTCTCAATGATGCAGCTATAGAACTTTTTGAGGATCTGGGGACCCATGCCAAATATTTTCAGTCTCCTGAGGGGGAAAAGGTGTTGTCGTGCCCTCTTCACGACGGTCTTGGTGTGTTTGGACCATGATAGATTTTTGGTGATGTGGAAACTCTCGACCCGCTCCACTACAGCCCCGTCGATGTTAATGGAGGCCTGTTCGGCCCGCCTTATCCTGTAATCCACGATCAGCTCCTTTGTCTTGCTCACATTGAGGGAGAGGTTGTTGTCCTGGTACCACACTGCCAGGTCTCTGACCTCCTCCCTATAGGCTGTCTCATCGTTGTCGGTGATCAGGCCTACCACTGTTGTGTCGTCAGCAAACTTAATGATGGTGTTTGGAGTCGTGTTTGGCCATGCAGTTGTGGGTGAACAGGGAGTACAGGAGGGGACTAAGCACGCACCCCTGAGGGGCCCCAGTGTTGAGGATCAGTGTGGCAGGGCGGCCCGACCTGGGGGCGGCCCATCAGGAAGTCCAGGATCCAGTTGCAGAGGGAGGTGTTTAGTCCCAGGGTCCTTAACTTAGTGATGAGCTTTGTGGGCACTATGGTGTTGAACGCTGAGCTGTAGACATCAGATTAAGGTAAAAAATTGGGTGAAAAAAAGACTAAATTACGTTGATTACTTTTTGGAAATCCTAAATCCATTTTGGAAACCAGTGGAGGCTGCTGAGGGGAGGATGACTCATTATAATGGCAGGAATGGAGTCAATGGAATGGTATCAAACGTGGTTTCAATGTGGTTGATACCATTCCATTGACTCCATTCCAGCCATTACTATGAGCCGTCCTCCCCTCAGCAGCCTCCACAGGTGGAAACAACGTTGATTCAACCAGTTTTTGCCCAGTGGGAAGGCACTTTGGTCAAGCTGAGATGCACAAAAACTGAGAACAAGATCTGTCTCTGCACCCTCCGTCTCAAGGAAAAACACCTTCAAATTCTGGGAGAAATTCATTCCTCATCATTCTTATCCGACAGGAGCATTCTTGGTTTTTGTGCAAAAGAGAATGATGTGGCCTGTCAAAGTCATTACCAAAGTCAAAGTCATTACCAAAGTCAAAGTCATTACCAAACCCTACACTGAATACACTCAAATGTATTTTACAGTTATTAATTTCTAATCATTAATTTGTTTGAGTCTGCTAAGGTGGTTTTGAAAGGCAAACCTAATCATCTTATATGATGTTAAAATTATACCTCTGGTCCATTCAGGGTTCATTAAAATGCATAATGAGAAAAGCACATGGAGAAAACCAAATATGGAAAATGTCACATTGAAATGTATTGCAAATTACCACAAAAATGTTAATGAAATGGTTAGTAAATGTATAATATAATTATTTATGGTTACTTTACATTCATAATGGTTGTTGGAGATACATTATGGGTCTATGTGGGCAGTGGAAAATGGTGGTTACTGTTTAAAAAAAGCTGCCCTCAAATTACACAATTGTGGCTAAAACGAAACAAGACAAACTGAGAGGGAGAGAGGGAGGGAGAGAGGGAGAGAGGAGGGAGAGAGGGAGAGAGAGAGGAGGGGGGGGAGAGAGGGAGAGGGAGGGAGAGGGAGAGAGAGGGAGGGAGAGAGGGAGAGAGGGAGGGAGGGAGAGAGAGAGAGAAAGAAAAACGAGAGATTGAGAATGCAATCTATCAGCCAGTGTCTCCATCCATTGCCTAAGTGACCAACTGATTTCCCACCTGAGGTTAGGAAGCTACAATCACTGAATCTATGCATTCAGCTCTCCATGGTACTATTAGGAACAACACCTCATAACTAAAACAACCAGCCAATATTAAATGCTTATCAATAAAACCTTGTTCATCAATCTAACTCTGACCTCGGCATGACAAATTCCAGGAAGGTCTATTCAGGGGGTTCGGAATCTTTGCAACACACAGTAAACACACAGCACGCTGTCGCCGTTGGTTATGAAAAGCAGAGGGAGAAGAGCGGTGCTTGGCAACAAGAAAGCAGGAGGATGCTAGAGACAGGCTGCTCCGCCTCAGGACTAGCCCCTAGCCTCTCCACATAGACAGCTGTGCAGGGGATGGCTGGCATTTACACTGTTACCCTCAGCACAACTTAGGCAGGTCAATTAAACACATGCGCATGCACACATGCAGCCACACGCACAAATACGCTTGCACATACTGTACAAATAAATCAAGGAACTCAACATTTAAACAAAATTATGGAAGATTTGTTCTCTTCACTCTATCTTCTGTACCTCTCTCTCCCTCCTTTTCCAAATGTACTGTACTGTTTATCATTTTCTCTCTCCCCTCCCTTTTCTCATCTCTCATCCACAACTCCCTGTGCAGA